ATAAGTGTTATAGTTATGGATACACTGAGGCTTTCAATATAGCATTCAGGCATTGTTCCAGCACAGCTGAAAGAAATCCTTTGCATTTGTACATTTTCAAAACGTAGGATAATCTTTCTTAGCAATTGCACCATCTAGTGATGGTACACTGATCATGCAACAGTAATTGGCACATGCCATGCTCCTGGTACACTAGAACCAAATTGATATATGCATTACCTCAGCCTAGAATTAGGCATAAACTGCATGGTTCAAATGTAGGGTCCAAACCCCAACCCAGAAATTGCATTCTTAGAGATCTATATCTAGTAGCAATAAGCAAGTAGTATACTGGAGTTTTAGTAAAATGAAATGAGATAAAACCAAACTAATGTGTTTAAATAGTCTTGTGTAGTTTACCTTGGAAATACAAGCCTTATTTTATTGCATTCATTGGCTCACTGATATCAGTGTATTACAAACCTCTCCATGTGGACGACTCTGGACACAGGTAGCATTTTTTTTTTTTTCTTTTTTTTTTTTTTATTCCTTCTGTCTGTCTTTCTTTCCAGATACTTTGCCTTCAAGTACTTTGCTTCATATCAAGAACTGTACAAATCTTTATAAAATACTGCAAGCTTTTTCCACCGTACTGGCACTGGCAGGAAGCGAAAGCTGGGCAGTGCATTGTTTAACCTTCTCACCTGGTGAAAACTGCCAGCTCTTGCTAATTCTTTTGTTGTTTGTTTGTTTTAGATCTTATTTTATTTCTGGAAGGTTTGTCAATTTTGGATGCCATATAGGCTCTTTCAGACTGTTTAAATTCCCGAGCCACAACTGTGGGGTGTCCTTGTTCAATAAAAGGTATTTAGGAGAGATCACAAGATGACAACTTTTGGTCTTGAGGCTCAATCCAGTGAGGGGATACTTATGCAATCAGTTCAGGGTGCCTGCTCCCTTTCACCAGACAACTGACAGCTCCAATAATAGGGCTGTCAACAGAGCTCTGCTCCTTAATTAGCTTTCCCTGTTCCTCCTTAGCTTGGTGCAATAGGCAAACAGAAATCATCTCCTACCAATTTGCTTCTTGTGTACCTTGCATGCAAGCTAGCTTGTAAAACTTCCTTAATTTCCTCGCTAAGGCTTACCTTTTTACCTCTATTGTGAGGCCAACCAGTGAGAACTCCTTGAGTGTACTATTGCATGCATTTTAAAAAGAGAGGAAAAACTGCACTGCTCTGAGTCTGGAGCTTCAGGGTATGAAGGGTATGAAGCAGGGGCACCTGAATTGTACTGTCTGTACTGGGTTGGCAAACAGAGATGTGAGGAGTAGCTGCTCTTCATATCTGATCTGTACTGCACATAGGCAGAGGTTTCGGAATCTGAGTAAGAGTCCAAATCAAAAATAGTGAATGAACATATATTCATATGATAGTACACAAGTAACACAATATTTTGGACTAGTATGGCAGAAGCTTGTCAATATCTGTGAGATCCACCATCCTGGACCGAAATCTCATGTGTAAAACTGTTCTCGTGTGTTTCAGACACATCCAAATGAAGAAATGAAAGAAAATAATCTTCCTGGCATTGGATCCAAACAAGAACTAAAACCATAGTGGGGACAGGTTCAGGGATTTGAATCTGACCCTGCCTCAGAAGCCCAAAGGAGTACTGATTCAGAGTTTTGGCTCGAGCTGGTTGAAATTTTTTGACTGAAAATTTTTCCTGTTGGAAAATGTGGTTTTGTTGACATCAAGATTTTTCAGTTGGAAAATTTTGATTCTAACAGTTTTGATTTTCCACACAGGTAAACTGAAATTAAAACATGTGTTTGGAATCAGTGTTGTGAAATGAATATTTTAGTCTCTAAAATTCAATATGAAACAAAAAAATCATTTTGAGATGTTGAATAATTTCATTTTTATCAAAAAAGTCAGTTTTCCATTTTGACATTTCCAGTTCAGACATTTTTTTCAATTTTTCATTTTGTGAAAAATTTCAGTATTTCGACTTCTGGTTCTAATTCTGAATGGAAATTAATTTTAAAATGTCAAAATTTCCCACAAAAGGAACATTAAGTTAGTCAAACTGCTCTAATATAAAATATATTTTATATAAAATATATCACCCTCTGTCACCACCACCACCTCTACAGCCTTTGTGCTCATTTGGCTCCTTTGGTAGAGGTTTGGTTGTGTAGGTACATGAAGCCTGGGCCTCACAAATGTGGAGACAGCTGAATGCCCCCCCCCATGTTATATCTCTTATACATGCGTAATCTCAGTGAACCTAGGGTTGTTGCAAGTGTTCTTCTTAAGATATAGCTAAGTAAAAGCTGTTGCTAGCTTAACAGAGGGCCTTCCAAAGTCACTGGTTTAAATACCTCTAGCAAAGTGTAAGTGCTTCTGTGACAAATATGGCAATTTCTTCAATATCCTTGAAAAACTTTGTTGTGTTAAGTTTAAGTACCTTTGAATTCCATTGTATTAAATGCAAACGTTATGTATTATTATGGGCCTGGATGATCAAAAGACTATATTAAACAATGTGGCAGACAAGAATGGTCTTTTGGGACAATATGTGTGAAATGAATTTCCTGGGAAATATCGAGGGGGAGGCCAATGCTAACTCCCTATCTCTGGTTATGCAAAAACTCAGCCTTTTGAAGTTACGGTCTGAGGAGTGGGCCTTTGTCTGCTGATCACCAGTTATGTGAGGCCAAGATCCAAGGCCCAAACTGTATAAAGGAAAGATTGAACTGTTCATGGGTGTGCGAGTTCTGAACTAAGGCTGTTATGAACTTTAAACCACAGAAAAGCCCCTCTGTGGGGTTTGAAGGATTGACTCCTATCATAGCCGTAGATGGAGTTGGGATGATCTATGTGCTTATCATCATGCCACTTAGGCTCTTTTATTGTTTTAAATATGTTTTTTTCTGTAATGCTTTCACCTTGAGAACAAATATGCTTGCTTATAAAGAACTGTGTGATAAGTCATAACGGGTGGCAAATATTATTGTTTGTAGCGCTGAAAGAGAAAGCAAAGCGTGGATGCTGGCCTGCTCAGACAGTCTGGCTTGCTGGGAGAATTCCAGGGTAGGCAGAGAACTATGCAGCCTGGAAACAAAAATCAAGAGGGAGAGAGAGGTGGATTTCTACCTGAGAGAAGTGATGGCTGAGGAATCCACTACAGAGGGGGAATACAGGCGCAGTCACCTTGAACTGTGACAGCATCATACTAGATAGTTGTTCTCTTTATGACATTGTTAATTTTAAAATTATATTATTTTCTCATAAAACATGAACACATCTAGATGAAAAGGGGCAGTATATACTGAACCTGTTCTGTGTTACAGAAAATTTCTGCAGTTTTCTTTCTATCCTGAATGACATGGGGATAATTTGAAATCAGATTCCCAAGTCTTTCATAAGATTAACAGTGGTTGAGGAGAATTTCAGATTTTAGTACAACCCTCTTTATCTGAAACATTGATGCCATTTAAAACATTTTGATAAACGAGGATTCAAAAGGAGATCTGGTGGGGTGATTACAGAGCTGATGTTAAAACTGATGTATGTTAGACTTGCTTGTAATCAGCTGGAATCCCTTTGATCTGCTTACACCCAGTTACTGATGCACAAATGAGTCTAAGGGTATGTTTGCCATCAGATGATGTGTGTGACTTCAGCATGTGTAGACATACCCAAGCTAGCTCTAGTAAAAATGGCAGTTAAACTGTGGCAGTCTGGGACCCTGGGTATGTACTGGGGTGGCCAACCCATGAAGCCGGAGCTTCACTGAACCAGTACTCATGCTAGCTAGATCAAAGCTTGCTTGGGAATGTCCACACGTGCTGCAATCACACCTCTGACTTCAGTGTAGATGTATCCTTCATGGATATAACTTTATACACCAGAGAGCCATAAAAAGGTATGAGAATGTGTAAGATTAAGTAGGGAATGTCCTACTGTAGAATGTCCTTCCTGTTGATTTTCTTATTACTCTTCTGTCTCTTGGTGTGTGTTGTACACTAGCTTAGACTTGCTTAAACTCCAGTAGTCGGAGTGGGCTAACTTCTGAGGTCATGCATAAGGGGGTTGTAACTAAGTAAGTGTGCATCTAAGTCTAAATGAATCTGTTTATATAAGAGGGATTTTAGCATGTGTGTTACACACAAACTCTTAGACTCACTTCTGAATTAAGCCCTGGAAAGCTATTCTTGACAATGTGCTGAGTCACTCTGTGATCTTGAGTCACTTTCTCTCTCTGCCTCAGTTTATCTTTCAGAAAATGGAGATAATACCAGTTCACAAGGGTGAGGAGGGCTTAAATCATTAGTGTATGCAAAACACGTCAAGATCCTCTGTGGAAAGGTGCTATTACAATGCACAGTATTAATTATTCAGGGGAACTACTGGGAAAGTGATGCACACCTGGGGATTTAACTACGATTCAGATAAGAGGGAGCTTTCATTAAACACGTGGAATAAATTGGTTTGTGCACAACATGTTGATAAAAAATTGATACCATGCAGGGCACAGATATTTGGAACTCAGCTACGTTAGAGGCAGGTGTCAAGAATCTGAGCCAAATTGTTGATTGTTATGAGAATATAATTCCATGTATTGAAATATTTTGCCTAATTTCTGGTCAAGTACAAATTAAATCTGTCAGGTGAGTAGGTGGTATTTGCATTCCTCATGTGGGATGTTTGTAACCTATATTAAAGGCATGATGTTCCTAGCACCTATGTTGTGAATATTGCAATGTTTATTTTGTAGGGTAAATAATTGTTTAAAAATAATATATCATCAGAATTATGAGAGCCTTTGTTACAGGTATTTTTACAAATCCTCAGCAGTACAAAGCAAGCTAAAACCAGACACTGGAGCTATATGTAAGGCTAACAAACTGATGATTCAGTATTGAAAAAGTTAAACAGTAGACTAGAGATCATCAGCTGTGTATAGCATTTCCCAGATCCCCAGCAGTAATCGTTTGCATTCCATCCCCACAGCAGTACGGATGTGCACACGGTGGCATCGCTTCTCAAACTGTATCTAAGAGAACTCCCAGAACCTGTTATCCCCTATGCAAAATATGAGGATTTTCTTTCCTGCGCCAAATTGCTCAGCAAGGAAGAGGAAACGGTGAGTTTTCTGCTTTGATTGGGATTTATATAGATAGTGGTGTTTTGTAATCTACTTTGGTTTTGGCAAAGGTTCTCTAGTTTTTGCATCAGCTTTCACTCTTTGCTAGATGCACATCTTTGAACCATATCAGGATGTCTTTCTAATGATGTAGAAGTGTAGGACTGGAAGGGACCTTGAGAGGTCATCTAGTCCAGTCCCCTGCACTCAAGGAATGACTACATAATAACTAGACAATTCCTGACAGGTGTTTGTCTAACCTGTTCTTAAAAACCTCCAATGACCGAGATTCCACAACCTCCCAATTTGTTCCAGTGTTTAACTACCCTGACAATTAGGAATTTTTTTCTAACATCCAACCTAAACCGCCCTAGCTACAATTTAAGCCCATTGCTTTCTTGTCCTATCCCCAGAGGTTAACAAGAACCATTTTTCACCATCCTCCTTGAAACAACTTTTTATGTACTTGAAAGCTGCCCCCCCCCCACACGCCTTCTCTTCTCCAGAGTAAACAAACCCATTTTTTTTTTCAGTCTTTCCTTATTGGTCATGTTTTCTAGACCTCTAATCATTTTTGTTGCTTTCCTCTGGACTTTCTCCAATTTTTCCACATCTTTCCTGAAATGTGGTGCCCAGACCTAGACACAATATTCCAGTTGAGGCCTAATCAGCGTGGAGTAGAACAGAAGAATTACTTCTCTTGTCTTGCTTACAACGCTTCTGCTAATACATCCCAGAATTATATTTGCTTTTTTTGAACAGTATCAGCATTGTTGACTCATATTTAGTTTGCGATCCACTACAACTCCCCAAATCCCTTTCTGCAGTACTCCTTCCTGGGCAGTCATTTCCCATTTTGTATGTATGTGCAGTTGATTGTTCCTTCCTAAGTGGAGTTCTTTGCATTTGTCCTTATTGAATTTCAACCTGTTTACTTCAGACCATTTATCCAGTTTGTCCAGATCATTTTGAATTTTAATTCTATCCTTCAAAGCACTTCCAACCCCTTTCAGCTTGGTATCATCCGCAAACTTTATAAGTGTATTCTCTATGCCATTATCTAAATCATCGATGAAGATCTTGAATGGAACCCAACCCAGAACCAATCCCTGTGGGACTCCACTCAATATGCTTTTCCAGTTCGACTATGAACCACTGATAACTACTCTCTGTGAACGATTTTCTTTGTAGGTTATCTTTAAATGAAATCTGTGGTTCACATAGCAATCTAAATAGGCATATGGGAATAAAAGAAACACTTCTTTACCTATATAAACTGCATACCATTGAATTATGGTTGGAAGTTTCTGCATTGGGATAGAAGAGTTCTATCTTGTATGAAAGAGACTTATTTTGGGTCATCTAGGCTGTCATCCTCCATTGTAACAGGACTGCTCTTATTAGTCCTACCCAATTCCTGTTTCAGTCAACAGCAAACTATTGATTTAAGTGGGAATTAACTGGGGATAAAATTGTCATAAGTCAGAGTCCATGGGATTTAGGCTCTAAAATTTTCACCTTGAGTCCATTGTCATTAAAGCATCACTCAGAGATATTTGGCAAGTTGGTCTTGATTAACTCTGACATCAGTTACTCTAGCATTTATCTTGGAAACATGCCCCATTGTCTAATGCGTCTTAAAGATATAGAGACAGATTTCCAACTCTGTTCTACTGGTGTGAAACTTGTGTAACAGAATGAAGGATTTGACCGATTATATTTTCCCTACAGTAATTTAAGGCCAATATATCTTGCTGTGTTGAAGCCTCCTTTTTACACCCCTCTATGTACTCGTTGGCAGTTAGTATATGATGTTATCTCTCAGTCTTTTTTCTCAGAGTGATCATTAATAGTTTTGTTCTATTAATTTCAGCCCATCCCTCTAATTTTCCAAAACCATTCTACATTTTAATCCCTCCTACAAAGTGGTTGACATCCTCCCTGTTCTGAGTCACCAGCCAGAATTGATTCTTTCCATCCCCATCCACTAAATCAATAAGGATCAGATGGAGGGTTGGGGGTTAGATGTGTGGAGGAGCATTTTGTATTAGGTCTAGAAGAGTTTGAGGGGAGCTGTGTGTTCTGCTGGCTGTTCAATGTTTTTGTGCGTGTAATTTATGGCAGGGGCACCTAGAGGTTTGGATAAGCACTGCTGTTTACTTTTGTTTAGTCTGTCTATCTGTCTAATTGATCGTACTGAACTCAGTACCAACTGCAGCGGAATCCCACTTGAAACCTCCATTCAACTTGTCATCACACTGCTAATAGCTGCTCTGTGTTCCATTCTTTAATTAAATGTGTCCATTTTATAGTAGCTATGTTTGTATAGTTTCTCTGAGAACATCACATGAAACTTTTTATTAAATGTATTTGAAAATGAGACTTCAGTGACTGTGTGAACCTAGAGCCAGTTCTTGCCATGTGATACTGGCAATGTGAGTGCCCAATGCTAGAGACTATAAGACATTTTTTATCCTGTTGTAATGCTGGCTTAGCCATCTGATTGTTAGATCTTTTGACTAGTTTTTTAGTCTTCTATGTTGGACTCTTCTACAGTGCAAGTTACAAACGATGCCGCTATTCATCTAGATAGCTGTTTGTCTTATTTCCTTTTGAGCATTTGCCCAGCAAACATTTGCAGTATCATGATCTTCCCATCCTGAGTTGCACTTGTTTTGCTGACCCACTGAAATCAAACACCCTACAGTGGCTGGCAAAGCACCAAAGGCTGAATTAAAACAGCATCCAAATGCACTGGTGGCAGGAGCTTAGCCAGAGGCTATTTCCAATGGACACAGAAACCAAGTTCACATTGTTCAGCTCTTCTGAGCCCTAGTGAGAGGACAGACTGAAAGAATCTTCTGCTTGTCTAATGCTAGTGCAGACCTTGGGAGCTAGCCAAAATGTTGCTTTGTCCAAATGAAATGGATACTACAGGCTAGTTGTCAAGGTTCCTTCCCCACTCTGAACTCTCGGGTACAGATGTGGGGACCTGCATAAAAAACCCCGAAGATTATTCTTACCAGCTTACGTTAAAAACTTCCCCAAGGTACAAACTTTGCCTTGTCCTTGAACAGTATGCTGCCACCACCAAGCGTTTTAAACAAAGAACAGGAAAGGAGACCACTGGGGGACATCTTCCCCCAAGCCCTAAACCCCCTTTCCTGGGGAAGGCTTGATAATAATCCTCACCAATTGGTACAGGTGATCACAGACCCAAACCCTTGGATCTTAAGAACAATGAAAAAGCAATCAGGTTCTTAAAAGAAGAATTTTAATTAAAGAAAAGGTGTAAGAATCACCTCTGTAAAATCAGGATGGTAAATACCTTACAGGATAATCAGATTCAAAACATAGAGAATCCCTCCAGGCAAAACCTTAAGTTACAAAAAGACACAAAAACAGGAATATACATTCCCTCCAACACAGCTTATTTTACAAGCCATTAAACAAAAGAAAACCTAAAGCATTTTCTAGCTAGATTACTTACTAACTTTACAGGAGTTGTAAGGCTGCGTTCCTGATCTGTTCCCGGCAAAAGCATCACACAGACAGCCCAAACCCTTTGTCGTCCCCCCCCTCCAGATTTGAAAGAATCTTGTCCCCTCATTGGCCATTTTGGGTCAGGTGCCAGTGGGGTTACCTTAGCTTCTTAACCCTTTACAGGTGAAAGGATTTTGCCTCTGGCCAGGAGGGATTTTATAGCACTGTATACAGAAAGGTGGTTACTCTTCCCTTTATATTTATGACACTAGTGATCATAGTTTATCTGGATATTTTTAACAAAACAGTTGTTTTACTCCATTTCCATAAGTATCTTCTATTTATTTCATACCAAAATCTCAACAATGTTGTTGTTATTGCTTTATTTGTTTGCACAGGGGGTGAAGGAATTAGTGAAACAAGTAAAGAGTCTGCCACCCGTCAATTACAATCTGCTGAAATATATCTGTAGGTAAGTGCTCCTGAAAGATTATCAAACAGGTATTTATTTCTATGCCCTAGAAGACATTGCTGTCTGTCTGGGTGAATATATCTCAAGAGAAGTTTAACAAAGAGAGTCAGAGTACTGGTACATTTAACCTAACACAATCAGAGGTTTGTTTATTGTATTACTAATTACTAACTTACTAATTATAGTCGTACAGCTGGGAGTAGGATTAATGAACAGCCCACACCCAGCATGAAAGGCAAGGAAATATAGCTGGAAAAAGGAATATCACCTTCTACCTACTTCTGTAAGGGGAAGCAGGGCTATATTTGCAGGTCACTTACCTGGAGAGCAGCTTCTGTTGGCCTTGGTGATTCAACAGCTTATGGGAGTCCTGGGTTAAAAAGGTCAAAACACCAGAAGGGTAAGGTGGTATGTGTGCATGGGGATGTGAGATAAAACACGGCCTCATAACAGGTAATGTTTTGATGTAGTTTGCTGCATGTTAATATCTGTGACGCTCCCAATGGTGTTGCAAGATTGTGAGTACTAACCTCAGGCAGACTGTTACACACGAGGACACAAACCCCAAACTGGTTGTAAATTCCTAACTTAGATTTCACCAACTCAGCGCAAATTCCTCAGGCACTTCAACAGCCTTAACATGGAGTCACAGACAGTCCTTCTGGGTATTCAGGTTTCTCTTGCTACCCAGGTGAATATATCTTTTGAATAGATAGCCATAACACCAGGAATCACAGCAATATTCACTGCTGAATTGGAATTCATTTGCAAATTGGATACTATTAATTTAGGCTTAAATAGAGACTGGGAGTGGCTAAGTCATTATGCAAGGTAGCCTGTTTCCTCTTGTTTTTTCCTACCCCCCCCCCCCCAGATGTTCTGGTTTAACTTGGATTTAAACTTGGAGAGTGGTCAGTTTAGATGAGCTATTACCAGCAGGAGAGTGAGTTTGTGTGTGTATGGGGGTGGGGGGGATGTGAGAAAACCTGGATTTATGCAGGAAATAGCCCGACTTGATTATGTAAAGAGTTGTCACTTTGGATGGGCTAGCACCAGCAGGAGAGTGAATTTGTGTGGGGGGTGGAGGGTGAGAAAACCTGGATTTGTGCTGGAAATGGCCCACCTGATGATCACTTTAGATAAGCTATTACCAGCAGGACAGTGGGGTGGGAGGAGGTATTGTTTCATGATCTCTGTGTGTATATAAAGTCTGCTGCAGTTTCCATGGTATACATCTGATGAAGTGAGCTGTAGCTCACGAAAGCTCATGCTCAAATAAATTGGTTAGTCTCTAAGGTGCTACAAGTACTCCTTTTCTTTTTGCAAATACAGACTAACACGGCTGTTACTCTGAAACCTAGCAATATTCAGGTTACTCCTAATTCCGAAAGACCAGTCAGTTACCCCAGGTCTGTTGTGCTTTAGGTCTCACACCAAAGACAATGCCTATAACCAATCCTATAGTAAACTATATGACAATTTATTAAATAGGAAAAGGAAAATAAAGAGTTATTTGCAAGGTTAAAACAAGCAAATATAGACATATGAATGAGTTATTGTCTTAGGTTTCAAAAGGTAATACAGGCTTCTATAATCAGTAAGCTCTAATTTGTCTTTTTAGGGCTAACCTAGGCTAAGCAGCTGGGGATCTCTTGCTTATGCATAGAAGCAAGTTGGTTCCCCTCCCCCAGAATCCAAGCAGCATGGAGTTCCTTAGCTTCTTTGGTTTGGGGTCTTTATCCTCCTTCTGCCATGTGCTCTGAGCTGCAAACTCAGCTGATGGGAAGAGTCCCTTGCATGATTCATCTTCACAGGGAGGAGAGCACAGTAATAAGAGACTTTAGTCCATTTCTTGATGGTTTCTCAATCCAGATGTGGGAGTTTCCAGTTGTAAGATACATCATTACCAGATAGGTTAGGGTTGGGTCTCCTCTTTTGGGAGATGCATAACAATTTCTCAAATATTACCCACTCAAATATTATGTTACAATATGGAACACATATATTACAAGTAAGATTAATGCATGCAGTAATTCATAAGCATTCAATAGAGTCTTAACACTTCTAATACCTATTTTATCAATATTAACCCACAAGTGAGACAGATACATTCCAGCCATGTATATGTTAGTGTCCAGTTCAGACATGGGGACCTTTTCATGAGCTGGCACCTGGGTTGCCAGCATCACAGAATCTATGGATTTTGGTAAGACACTGAATGTTATATCAAGAATGTATTTATCAATTAAGCTTTAAAGCTTTTCATACAACATTATGAGAAAATATCGGGGTTCTATGGGGAGGATAAGAAAGAAATAATTTCCCATTTTCAATTCACTTGGGGTAGCAGCCAGTAAGCTGTGGAGAATGGGAGGCCTAACTGCAACAGCAGGTTTTCAGAATTTTTCCCCCACAATCATTCTAGAAATGACAACCCCCAAAATAGCCTTGGTTTGGGTTTGAAAAGTCACAGGACAGCACTTCCTTGGTTAAAGGGCCTGTATGTCTTGTTACAGTAAGATATGCAAAAGCTTCCTTCCCTGGAAAACTTACAAGGTACACTGGATAAGAGCTCAACTCTGCTAGCTCTAAGGAGCATTATGCTCTAGAAAACTTGGGTACATTAGAAAATAAACCCAGGGACCTCTTTCAATCAACTGGCAGAGGGTACAGGGATACATAAGGGCTGCAGGTATCCCTTGCATCTGGTATCTGTGGGATGACATGAATGGACTCTAATGAAAGCCTGTGTCGCACTGGCATAATCATTGTGAGATGTGTGGTGCATAACATCTCAGAAGGGGTGTGCATGGATAGAAAGGAAAAATGTTCTTGTAGTTAAAGGCAGGGCACACGTTGATAGCACGCCTCGAGACAATTCTCTAGACAGGAGGCAAGAGACCCTTCTCTCCCAAACTAATCTTTGTATAGCGTGTGTCTTACAACCACAGTCTGTTAGCATATTAAGTCATATGTTTAAGGAAGAGCTTGCAGGGACTTCAAAAGAAAATTAACAGGAAAAGGTAAACAGCTGGAGATGAGGGAAGACACTCTTTTCAGTGAAGATCAAAGGTCTTTCTGGTATATGTTAGGTGAAAAAAGACCCCCTGGCATCCTTCACTGAGGAAGTAAACTGACAGAGGGTTTGCTTCATGAAAAATGGATCCCAGCCAGACTTGGCTGAAAATGCTGGGAAGAACTTTGGGTGAGATAAAACTTTCTTTAGACAGGAGGAAATCTTGTTAGTTAAATTTAGGCCATGGAGAAAGCATGTTATGATTTTTTTATATAGATATATATAGATATAGATATATATATAATGCATTTTTCCAGCATTTTGCTTGCTATCATAGGAATCTCTGTTCTTTGTTAAATAAACTTATATTTGCTTTCTCTGTAAACGTATCTGAGTGCTGTGTGTTAAGTGGAGCTGTGTTTTAAGGCAAACTAGTAAGCTGGCATGTAGTATTCCTTTGGAAACAGTGGGTCTGGTGATTCAGTGAGTATCCCATGGAGCAGGGGCTAGATGCTGCTGATGGATGCTTGGAGGACTCAGGGGTTAGTGTATGCCTATCGCTAACCTGTAAAGTGAGGTCTGGAGGGGAGTGCTTGTGTTGCCAGTATCCAGGGGTGTCGAGCGGATTCCAGGCAGAAACAAGGCTCTCTCATAGACGTTAAGCTTAGAAGGGACCATTGTGATCATCTAGTCTGACCCCCTGCACATTGCAATCCACAGAACCTCACCCACTCCTGAAATAGACCCCTAACCTGTGGCTGAGTTACTGAAGTCCTCAAATCATGGTTTAAAGACTTCAAGTTACAGAGCATTCACCATTAAAACCTGCAAGTGACCTATGTCCCATGCTGCAGAGGAAGGCAAAACACACCCAGGGTCTCAGTCAGTCTGTCCTGTGGGGAAAATTCCTTCCTGATGCCAAATATGGTGATCAGCTAGACCCTGAGCAAGGGGGAAAGACCCACCGGGCAGATACTTGGGAAAGAATTCTCTGTAGTAACTCAGAGCCCTCCCGCTCTGACGTGCCTCAGAGCCCTGGGTACCCTAGGGAGCATCACAACTACTGCCCTGTTTTTCCAAGCCTACAACAGTGCTGACCTTTAAAAAAGAGTGGTGACCTTTAAAAAACAACTAGGAAATGCCATACAAAAAATACAGTAAGAGATCATCATCCACCTTTCCCTTTTGTGATCTTGGTGCTCACTTTACCCCCTCTATTTCACAGATTCCTGGATGAAGTCCAGTCCTATGCGGGTGTAAACAAAATGAGCGTGCAAAACCTGGCTACTGTATTTGGTCCCAACATCCTGCGCCCAAAAGTGGAAGATCCTCTGACCATCATGGAGGGTGAGTTAAAGGAAAATCATAAACAACTTTAAAACAGGAAGAAGGAACTTCTTTAGATTCATCAGCAGTACATTTTGGGTGGTCTGATGTCAAAAATAACTTTTGCCTGTTTGTGTGTAGACACAACTTTTCTTCCACTATAGTAACTTAAAATAACTGCTCTGCTGAACATGCTGCTGCAGAGGAAATTGAAATTTCCTTTGTAGTACATTGACTTTGCCTCAGACACTGTAGCACACATGACTTCCTTAAAGTGTAGCTCTATTCTGAAAACTGACTGTAAAAAATGGCAACTTCTTACTCAACAGGTCTGTCTGAGGCCACATAGAGCACAGCAAGGAATAGAACCCAGCTCTCGTTCATCCCAGCCAAGCACTCTATCTACTTGGCCACATTGTTCCACTTATTTGCACCTTGGGCAATCCTTTGTCAGCAACAACATTTCATAGGGCCTGCTGTAATACTACAATGCCACTTTTACTGTCACTTTTCAGAGTAGAGTTTAAGTAGTAAATATTATATTATGGAAGTGCCCAAAGACCCAGTCTTGATTACCTTTCTTGATGAATCAGAAATCCAATGCTAGAGCATTTGATTGACAAATTTTACCAGTAAAGAGGTAAAATAACTCAAAATCTACATATTTTCAGCTAATTTTTCCATATGTTTAAGCATCTACCATTTTTTAAAATCTTCTTATCACCCACAATCTGTTTTGCACTTTAGAGAGAAAGGTGCTAGCTTTGTGCAAACCAGCTTGTTTTCATGTTGCAAATATTCACATTTGAACCCCTGTGTTTTTGCAAGAATTAAGTCTGGTACAAACTTTCACAACATCAGTTGGTGACATTAAGGCCTGTCCTGTGGATCTTTTATACACATTACTCTCAGAGAAGACCATTCTAGCTGTGTGTTTGGAAGGATGCCAGATACAGCTGATAGCATTTTACTATGAACATGGCAAAAAAGTCACCATGAGCAAAGTCTTGAAGCTGCTCAAAGGACTTTTGCCTTTTTTATGGTGGAACTGCTTATTTTTTCCATCTGGAGACTGCACATTCGTTTCTCAGAAACCAGCAGGAAAATACAAAGGCCTGCACAGAACGCCTCTCTAAAAGGCAAGAATGGAATTTTTCTTTGGGTTTTTGTTTTGTTTTATGTTTTTCTGCTGTCTCTGAAAATTTCCCCCACAGACTTAGAGTTCAGTATGATGTCACCTTCTGCAGCCCTTTATCCTCCAATACAATGAGAAAAATTGTTCACAGCAATCCTCATCTAATGCTACCAATCCATAGGGCAAAGAGGGGTCATGGTGTGAAGAATCCAGTGTGGGGCTAAAAAGGTATCTCAACACCCTTTTTAAAAAAGTCCACCGTCCTTTAAAGAATCACCTTCATTTCAATTGCTGTCTGTTTTTTTCAGTTTCTATTTCACTTTGTATCTAATCTTTTGACTACTCAAAAATTACTATAAATGAATTATACTTGTACGGAGATATAATATATGCATGAATAAAGAAAGAGGTTTGTGAAAGGAAGCTGACTTTTTCCCACCACTATTTCTTATGGTAGACTCAAAGCTGTTACAAAGCAATGCAGATTTTCAGTATTCCAGAGCAAACGAACAAAAAATGTTGACAAGTCCCCATGGCAAACTGAATTTTTAGTAGATGTATTTGAAGGAAAAAAGCTCAAATATTCAAATGCAAACTGTATACAATTATATTGGCCAGTGGGAAATTATTGATTAAAAGAGCAGAGCATGCCACTGAAACATTTCTAGAACTTTAAAATGGTGTTTATAACCAACCTGACCTCATTACTGGAAGACTCTTACTACTCCCTAATAGGGTTCTGTAAAATATATCTATAATGCAATGATACATCATTATTTACCCAAGTCTAGTTCCAAATGATAGTTCTGTAAATTAAAGTGAAGTTGTGTGGTGTGTGCACTTTGGGTTTCTAGAGAAGGAACATTTATTATAATGTGTTGCGAAATGGGGTGCTGTGTGATTTAAGGTTGTGATTTATGTGTTACCGGCAGCAGATTACACATAGCATGACAGCATGACACACTTTATTGGCCAGTCACAATCTCATCTCTGAATGGTTAAAGGTTTTTATATTAAATATCTCACACAGCTCTGATTGGCTAAAAAGTTAATGGGCCAGAAACCCTCTCCTCCTTCAATCCCTTGTATTAGACTGGCTAGTGCATTCCCAGCCTAGGAGTCCATTTTTAAAGATGTTTGGTATGTTGAGCTTAAACTCACTTGTTACAATTACATCATTCATCTTATTATTATTCTTAATCTCTCTGTATGGTCCCAGTGGTTTTCAATTGCTGATATTGTCTTGGGATATTTGTTTTAGTTCCCCATGATAATATCTCCTTTAAAACATTCTCGGCTGCTACGTGCCCTAATATTGAAGTAAGAGATGTAGGGAGCTATTTTCCTCCCCGGCACTGGCTACCTACATCGGCAGGCTCTTCGCAGAGGGAGAACATCTGCTAACAGGAATGAGCAAAGTCTTGGCTCTGCCCCCACGATGTTGGCCAGTACACCAGAGCCAGCGCAGAGTGGGTAGGAAGGTGCACTAGCAGACACACGGGCAGATTTTTGTTTCTTCCGTGAAAAGGGGGCAATACAGAACTGATTGTGGTGTGGTGATTTGGAGCTAGAAAGAGGAGATAGGCATGAAGGTTGTAATAGCAAATATTAAATGCTTAGGTAAACTAAACTACATATATATTAGTAAATGCGTAAATGCATGAATTAAGTGTATATTAACCAGATGCATCTTTATGAAATCTTTAAAGATCTGTTTTAAAAGAATGTTTGTTCACTTCTCAAATGAAACTACCTCATTAATGATCGTTCATTTGCCATCCTCCAGGCACGGCAGTAGTCCAGCAGCTGATGTCAGTGATGATAAGTAAACATGAACAGCTATTTCCCAAGGACACAGACTTTCAGACAGGGGAGGAGGTGTGCAATAACAACAATGAGATCCAGAAGAAAATGGTCATTGGTCAGCTCCAGAATAAAGAGACCAATAACAACAAGGAGATAGCCGTGAGAAGCTGTTCTTGGGACACACCTGAGCCTCTCCAGAGGGGCAGCATGGACAATGGGTCTCCCACCGTGCTGCCAGGGAGCAAGTCAAACAGTCCAAGGAACAGCATTCACAAATCTGATGTCACAAGAAGCCCACCTCTCATGGTGAAAAAAAACCCAGCCTTTAATAAAGGCAGTGGCATAGTCACGAATGGGTCCTTCAGCAGCTCTGTGGAGGGCCATGAGAAAACCCAGGCCCTACCAAATGGTACCCTGCAGGCCAGGAGAACATCATCCCTGAAAGGTTCAGTTACTAAAATGGGCACACATAGCATGCAGAATGGAGGCGTGCGAATGGGCATTTCAAGCACGGATGCACACAGCAACTCCCTTAACAGCCGAAACCTGAGCTGGATGCCCAATGGGTACGTCACGTTGAGGGACAGTAAACAAAAGGAATTGGTGAGTGATTCGGGCCAGCATAACAGACTCTCCACCTATGACAATGTCCACCAGCAGTTCTCCATGGTGAATTCAGATGATAAACAGAGCGTAGATAGCGCCACCTGGTCCACATCCTCTTGTGAAATATCCCTACCCGAACACTCCAACTCCTGTCGGTCGTCTACTACTACCTGCCCTGAGCAAGACTTTTATGGGGGTCATTTTGAAGACTCGGTGCTAGATGGGCCACCACATGAAGACTTCTCCAACCAAGGAGACTATGAGAGTAAAACTGACCGAAGAAGCACGGGAGGACGCAGCAGCCGGGCCACCAGCAGCAGCGATAACAGTGAAACATTTGTTGCAAACAACACGAGCAACCACAGTGCTCTGCACAGCCTAGTGTCCAGCTTAAAGCAGGAGATGGCAAAACAGAAGGTGGAGTATGAAACAAGGATAAAGAGGTAAGGTGGTGTATCTCTGGCATAGGTGCTAATTATATAAACGAGAGGCAGAGTAATTCTCTTATGCTCCCATGTCTCAGTGAATCCGAACATAGGAATTGGTAGTAGAGATGGAGAAACTGCTTGGATAAAATAAGAGCCCACCTGAACCTTTCCCCCCTAATTCAAACCAAACCTGGTCTGACATTGGGGAAAAAAATCATAACTTTTTCTTTCCATGATATTTGCTATTTGCATATTTGCATGTGCCTCATGTTCTCAGCCAAGATCAGAAGGATTGGTGTAGCATGAGAATCACTGTTTTCAAATTGATGGCCTAAACCTAGTAAGCATGTGAAATCTCACTGAAGAGTCTGTTTCCATAAGATCCCAAGCCTAAATTTCCTGATCTAAGAGGAGTGGAGAGCTCACACAAAGGTTTGGAGAAAACTTCCAGATGTTAGGGTGCCCATCCAAATCAAACTTTTAACCCCTTTGAGGATTGAATGGAAGTAGCTGACACACTGGAGCAGATCAGTGGCATGTCGAATGCAATATCCTGCATTCAGCAGTGGCTTGCACTAAATGCTTCAGAGGCTAAAAAAGGCTAATGGAGTGCCCATCTTTAAAAAAGGGAAGAAGGAGGTTCCTGGGAGCTACAGGCCAGTCAGCCCCACCTCAGCCCCTGGAAAAATCATGGAGCAGGTCCTCAAGGAATCAATTCTGGAGCACTTAGTGGAGAGGAAAGTGATCAGGAACAGTCAGCATGGATTCACCAAGGGCAAGTCATGCCTGACTAATCTAATAGCCTTCTATGATGAGATAACTGGCTCTGTGGATGAGGGGAAAGCAGTGGACGTGTTGTTCCTTGACTTTAGCAAAGCTTTTGACATGGTCTCCCACAGTATTCTTGCCAGCAAGTTAAAGTAGTGTGGGCTGAATGAATGGACTATAAGGTGGATAGAAAGCTAGCTAGATTGTCGGGCTCAACAGGTAGTGATCAATGGTTCCATGTCTAGTTGGCAGCCGGTATCAAGCGGAGTGCCCCAAGGGTCGGTCCTCGGGCCGGTTTTGTTCAATATCTTCATTAACGATCTGGAGAATGATGTGAATTGAACCCTCAGCAAGTTTGCAGATGACACTAAACTGGGAGGAGAGGTAGATACACTGGAGGGTAGGGATAGGATACAGAGGGACCTAGACAAATTAGAGGATTGGGCCAAAACAAATCTGATGAGGTTCAACAAGGACAAGTGCAGAGTCCTGCACCTAGGACAGAAGAATCCCATGCACCGCTACAGACTAGGGACCGAATGGCTAGGCAGCAGTTCTGCAGAAAAGGACCTAGGGGTTACAGTGGACGAGAAGTTGGATATGAGTCAACAGTGTGCCCTTGTTGCCAAGAAGGCCAATGGCATTTTGGGATGTATACGTAGGGGCATTGCCAGCAGATCGAGGGACGTGATCGTTCCCCTCTATTCAACATTGGTGAGGCCTCATCTGGAGTACTGTGTCCAGTTTTGGGCCCCACACTACAAGAAGGATGTGGAAAAATTGGAAAACGTCCAGCAGAGGGCAACAAAAATGATTAGGGGACTGGAACACATGACTTATGGGGAGAGGCTGAGGGAACTGGGATTGTTTAGTCTGCGAAAGAGAAGAATGAGGGGGGATTTGATAGCTGCTTTCAACTACCTGAAAGGGGGTTCCAAAGAGGATGGATCTAGACTGTTCTCAGTGGTAGCCGATGACAGAATGAGGAGTAATGGTCTCAAGTTGCAGTGGGGGAGGTTTAGGTTGGATATTAGGAAAAACTTTTTCACAAGGAGGGTGGTGAAACACTGGAATGCATTACCTAGGGAGGTGGTGGAATCTCTTTCCTTAGAAGTTTTTAAGGTCAGGCTTGACAAAGCCCTGGCTGGGATGATTTAGTTGGGGATTGGTCCTGCTTTGAGCATGGGGTTGGACTAGATGACCTCCTGAGGTCCCTTCCAACCCTGATATTCTATGATTCTAAGTGAAAAATCTCTCCAGTGAACAGGGTCAATTGTGCCAAACTGAACTTTTGGGGAGAATTTCATTCTGATCCCAGTTTATGCCCTCAAGTTGGACGACTGGTGGCCCTTATATTTTAATTTAATTAATTTAGAGTAGCTGCAGATGCCATCTGTATTCATATTAAGTGTTCAGTCTTTTTTAATCTTACTAAACTATTTAATTTAATAGGATCTTGCAGCAGTGCATTCCATAGATTAATTCTATTTGCATAAAATGATTTCCTTTTATTCATGTAACATATTTAAGTGTGCTGGCACTGAATGACAGATGCAAACAAGGCTCTTTTTAACTGGTTGTGACTTTGTAACAATAGTTGTGGAATTTCTAACACACCTATACTAACTGAAGTCAAAAGCTGCAAACAAATCAGAAAACCATTTTTTTTCATTTTCCCAGGAGTATAATAGGATTTGAGTGATTGTACAATTTAAAAAATGTGGCTGTCTTACAAAATTACTTTGTCACCTTCCTTAGATTTAAAAATTCCATTAAATTATCCATGATCCAAATGGGTACAAATATCCTGTTGGAAATGTTTAAACAACATGTAGCACACTTTTCCTGAACATGGGCTCAGTATAGAGTTGAGCTGAGTTTTGCTACCCTACATGTTAAGACCAGCATGGATACCAAGCAAAAGCAGCAGACTGGATATTTGAGAGCACTTTGGAGGAACAATGATAATGCTAGTGTATTAGGAGAAAGGTTATGCATGGTGGCTTTCCAAATTCTTGGCTAGCTTTATATTTAGAACCGCACATCTTTCTCCTTCATCGGTGGGTACAGAGGGCCTTGCTGCAGTGGAACCAGTAAGGTCCTGCTGCATGGGCAGGATTTTAGGGTTGGCAAGATCCATTGTGCCACATGAAGTGCAGTTCCATGATCGCTTCCAAGATGGCTGTGTACAAAAGATCCCTGAGAGAGGAGCAAGCATCAGGATCAGGAGTGCAAGCTATTGAAGGCCACATGAGGAGATGGGGGAAAGGGCTCCATGGACTACTCTCATTCCTGAGGCCAGAGTAGCTCTACTCCCATTCCACAACCTGGGAAGGGAAGGGGATTCCTCTCACATGCACAGATGTTCCCAGCACCCAGTACAGCTGCTTGGGCTGGGTACCCAAACAGGATTTGCCTGTTCACTTCACTGAAATTAAATCAAATGAGGCAGGAGGGAGACTTTCAATAGGACTTGTGCACCTCACTCCCTTAAGTGAGTTGGATAATCTCCCCCATACCTTCACTACCTAAAATGAATTACACTGTTTACATCCAGCAAAGAATTCTGTACTGTTACAGAAAACACTTTTGCCACTATTGAAATGTTGTAAATTAAAATGGTTTACTTGGGCTTTTTCTGTTGTCACAGTGGATGTGAAAATGTTCCCGTTCGCACTGAATGATCTAAGATTTAATAAGGTGGCTTCAGTTTACTTCAGTGCAATGTAAGTGCAGCTCTGATTAACAACTGGAAAGTGGCACTGCTGTTGCTTAGGCATTTTGAAGGCAGAATGAAAATCATTTGGTCTGATCACCACTTAAAACAGAAGAGACAATTCTTTAAAATGTGCTGTTCTCTCCAGCAAAAGACTTGGTTCTATTCTTTCACTCAATTTGGAGCATAGGTAAAGCTGTTGGGGTACAAATAAATAATGATGATAGAAGTTAATAATTCTGTTTCATAGGCACATCCCTTTCAAACTATACAAGCGGTTCTCCAACAATGTAAAGGAAACCCAAAGTATAACACAAATCCCTGGAGGGAGTTTGTACAACACACACAGATGGTTAATCTATTTAATGGCTATGGCAAAAATCCTGCTGGCAAATAGCAAAAAAAAAAAAGTTATCTCTGAGGTTTTGATGTTATCAGCGTTGTTTTATTTCATGGCTGTGACTACATCTAAGCCATGAAATGCGATTTTTAAGAGCCTGCAAAACTCAAACTGATCTTTATAGTAAATGTTAAAATATTGTTTTGCCAGAAAATTTCTAGAGCTTGAGTCATCCTCTTTGCTAGATTTTCTTCCTTTTTGAGTTAGTCCCACTGGCTGAAACTTAGCCATCGTGAGATAAAGTTTGTTCCAGAAAGTTGCCACAATCCTGACACTAGTATCACAATGTGATAATATTTCTTGAGTACCAACAGTAAAGTCAGGCTTTTGTGAATTCTTGTAGCATTGACTAAGAAAATGAATAGTATCCCACATATTCAGGGTGGGTGGTAACCCTACCAGTGAGACTTCACTGTTTTAGCTCATGTCAAAAAAGTTTGAGACACTGATTAGTCAGAGGCTGATAAGCTAGGATGGGGATGGGGCATTGTTTATCAGTGAAATACAGGTGCAACCCAAGGGCCCCACCCCTTCACTTCTGTAATTGGGAGAGTGCTGGAATTTCTTGTGAGGGTGGTATTCTTTTCGGGGGCAGGAAGAGAGGGTGCCAGGGGGGAGGGAAGTCCATATTTTACAGCTTGTACATGCTCATTTTCTTCTAGCTGATGAAATTTCAGAAACAGTGCAGTCTCTGTCTGTTCCCTCCCCCATGCACAGTGTCACAGATGCTATGAGGGTATGAGTGTGTGTGCTATTCTAAACCCCTACGTATCTCCAGAAGGGAAGATGTCTCCATTACTCTACTCGTGCTCTATATTCTCTGTATTCTCTTTTGTGCCCTGCTCCCTGTGAATAGTTCCAGTGGTGGCTACCTCTGCTACTTATAGATTCCCCCAACAGTGATGTGAAATTGACATAATTCTTGTCAGCTTCACGTTGTTCCTGGTGTTCTGAATATCATCCACTGTGTCATATAGCTCAACCATGCAATCCAGGGGTGATGCATATAATAGGGGAGAGGTAAATTAAGGATGGACAGGTGTTGATCTACTTTAGTCCTGCTGCCTCTCCTTCCACATTTCAAATCATGAGTGCTAGTTGTTATGTATATGCCCATTGGTAAGATTCAAATTGACACCAAGTTACACACCAGATTGACTTTCATCTTCAGCACTTACATCATTGTGACATGCAACTTAAGATCAGACTCAAATTGTTTTTGGTAAGGCAGAATTCCCAAACGAATGGGTGGAAACAGGATTTTCCCTTCATCTGTAAATCCAGCCAAGAGGTGCATTTCTTCATTGCTACTTTGCATGAAACTTTCCTATGCAGTTCAAGAGCTGTTAAAGTAGGTGAAGCTGAGTCATGTTAGGAAAAGATATTTCTCATTGTTTTTAAATGGAGAACAATTTACCAATCGTTAATTCTCCTGCTTCATCAACAGTCAATTAAATCTTTGTTTAGAGGAAAAGAGACTAGGGTGCATGAACTAATGAGTGATTGTATCCAAACTCTATGCCTACCCTTAATAATGGCACATAACAGCATGGAGTGGGAAAAGTCATTGTCGTTATGACCTCAGCACAGTTGTATAGTGGATGCAGCACTAGAATAGCAGCCAGGAGACGTGGCTTCTGTTCCCATCTCTGCCACTCACAAGAGACAGCATGGTGTGTGCATGTCTCCTCTGTAACAAGCTGTATCTGAACTGGAACACACCATAGCTGCTGATTCCATTGGACTGCAGGTTTTTAGAAATATAAAGGTACAGTGCACAGAAAGCAAAAGGAGGAACACTTCCTTAGCTACTTACATCACAATTCTCCAAGCTGTGCTGAGACTATTGATGATGCTGGAACACATTGTGTTTGACATGCATTATTATTAATTATTATTATGTATTAGATCATACCAGTAGTGTGCTTGGTCCTTTACCATAAACCCTCAAATATAGTAAGAAAAACAAAAACAAACCACATCAATTGCAGCTTCAAAAACATAACATGTGACCGGATGACTGAGGAAGTTATCATAGACAATAAAGGGGAAGAGATGCAGAACACGTAAAGTAAACAAGTAAAGAACACGTCAGAGATCTTACGACTAATTTGCATTGATTCAAGTCAGCAGGGCCTTCTGCTATTCACCCCAGGGTTCTGAAGGAATTAGCTGAAGAAATCTTGGAGCCACTGGCAATAATATTTACAAACTCCTGGATGACAGGAGAGGCCCTGGAAGATTGATGAAGGGCTGACATAATGCCCATCTTTAAAAAGGTTTCAGAGTAACAGCCGTGTTAGTCTGTATTCGCAAAAAGAAAAGGAGTACTTGTGGCACCTTAGAGACTAACCAATTTATTTGAGCATGAGCTTTCGTGAGCTACAGCTCACTTCAAGGGGGGAAAGGAGGTGCTGGGGAACTATAGACCAGTCAGCCTGACTTCAATACCTGGGGAGCGACTGGAGTAATACATAAAACACTGAATTTGCAAATACCTGGAGGATGAAACTAGCATAGATTTACTAAGAGCAAATCATGCCAAACAAGCTTGATTTCTTTCTTTGACAAGGTAACTGGTTTGGTGAATAGGGGTATGCAGAGGACTTTATAATAATATACCTGGACTTTAGCAAGGCTTTTGACACAGTCCCATACAACATTCTCATAAATAAGATGGAGAAATGCAGGCTTGATAGACCTACCATTAAGCAGATTAGATACATAATTGGTTAAACAACTGCAAAGAAAGAGTAACTATTAGTGGAATGATGTCAGATTAGAAGGCACTCTCAAGTGGCCACAGGGATCTTTTCTGGGTCTGGTATTAATTAACATCTTTATTAATGACCTGGATATTGGAATAGAGAGCATACTGATCAAATTTGCAGATGACACAAAGCTGGGAGGGTTGCAAACACTTTGGAGGATAGAACTAAAATTCAAAGGGATCTTGACAAATTGGAGAAATGGGCTACAGACAACAAAAGGAAATTTAACCATGACAAGTGTAAGGTGCTACACTTAAGGAAGGAAGGAAAACCAAATGCACAGATACAGAATGGGGGATAACTGGCTTGGCAGCAACACTGGTGAGAAGAATCTGGGAGTTGTGGTGGATCACAACTTCAGCATGAGTCCACAACGCGATGCTGTTGCCAAAAAAAAAAAAAAAGCAAATGCAAATTTGCGTTTCATTAACAGCATAGCATGCAAGTCACAGGAGGTGATAGTACCAATCTACTCAACATTGGTTAGGCCTCAGCTGGAGTATTCTGTCCAATTTTAGTCATTGCTGTTTAGAAAGGATGTAGAGAAACAGGGAAGAATCCAGAGGTGAGCGACAAAAATGATCAAAGGGATGGGATGCACGCCCTATGAGCAAAGACTGAAAGAACTGCATACGTTTAGTTTGGAAAGGAGGTGATTAAGGGGGGACATGATAGCAACTTCAAATACTTGAAAGGCTGTCATAAAAATGATGGGGAAAAAAATTTCCTTCTTGCCACAGTGGGCAGGACAAGAGGCAATGGGTTCAAACTACAGCATGGCAGATTTAGATTAAATTTCAGGGGAAATTTCCTAACTGTGAGAACAATAGCACAGTGGAACATACTGAGTAGGGAAGTCATGGAATCTCCTTCACTAGAGGTTTTCAAAAGGAGCCTGGATAACCATCTGTCTTGAATGGTTTAGATACAACAAATCCTGCATCTTGGCAGAAGGTTAGATTACATGATGCTTGTGGCTCCTTCTCACCTATGATTCTATAATTTTTTCAAACAGTAGATCAGCATGGGAAATCAATATTTGCAAATAGAAAAAGAGGATCAGGGACATGTGGTTACACCAGTGTACAACCAGTGTGAGGCCAGAATCAACCCTTGGCGAAGGAAAAGGCCTATTTAGTTCATTGCCTAGCACATGCAGAGCTGTTTTCTACCATATACATTTCCAGTGGTTTGTATCCTTCAATTATAAATAACCCAAGAGATGAAGATTCCATCATTCCTTGTAGGAGACAATTCAACATTTAACATCCAGTAAGAAACATGTTACTTTAACATGGTCTCTTTGAAGAAACTTGGACTAAGCTTTGTAAATTAAAAGCTGTTGCTCTGAGCTAGGCTGGGTAATACAGTGAGGGCTGTCATCTGTATACTTCTATTTTTGCAGCTTGGAACAGAGAAACCTCACCCTTGAGGCAGAAATGATGACCCTGCACGATGAGCTGGACCAGGAAAGAAAGAAGTTTACAATGGTAGAAATCAAAATGCGCAATGCAGAGCGGGCCAAAGAGGATGCAGAGAAGAGGAACGACATGCTGCAAAAAGAGATGGAGCAGTTTTTCTCAACATTTGGAGAACTAACAGTGGAGCCTCGCAGGCCGGAGAGAGGCAACACCATATGGATTCAGTGAGCATTCTAAGCTGAGACTGTGGGATTCTGGGAAGGGATGTTGGGGTATTATACTGTTTCAGGTGGCTGGTCACCTAACTGAGGCAAGCACTCAACAAAGAGTTGTAAACCATTGAAGGAGGAAAAACCTACAGACATTAACCACCCATACTGCAGTGTGTACTTATCTAGTTATCGTACTTTTTGAATGCTTCATAATGCTAGTATCAAGTGTTACAACTGAATGTGTATATAGATTTTAAAAAAAGTCATCTTAAGGAGAGCGCGAGAGACGTATCTCACAAAATATTTTAATGCAAGTCTTGTATTTAAACTGGTAAATTGAAATGTTGTTGCAATCAAGCTTTATATCAAGGCTTTTCTCCCTTGCACTTAACATAATAAGCTATTTTTGGCATTGTGTTACCATCAGCTTATTTTGTATATCAATTTTTTTTGTTACCCTTCTTGTGTGGGGGGGGGGAGACTAAAGATAAACAAATATATAGATAATGTTAGTTATTAAAACAAGAGGCTAATGTGTGGCTGTGCTGTTTGTGCCAATGGACTTGCCCATGACCAAAAAGAAAAGTGTAAATAATTTTATAAAAATATACCATTAACATCTGACAAGTTTGGGACTTTTCTCTTTGGACTCTGAACTCTTTATAAATAACAATCTTTTGGGTTTTGGAATGTCAGACCATTTTATCCAGGATTTGAAACCCAAAAGGAGATGGTCTGGTTAAGGAATCTTGACCACATGATTTTTCCAGAATAACTGTCTTTTCATTCTAGTTCAGTTTCCAGTAAACAACGGATAAGAACGGCCACACTGGGTCAGACCAAAGGTCCATCCAGCCCAGTATCCTGTCTGCCAACAGTGGCCAATGCCAGGTGCCCCAGAGGGAGTGAACTTTATAGGTAATGATCTAGTGATCTCTCTCCTGCCATCCAACTCCACCCTCTGACAAACAGAGGCTAGGGACACCAATCGTGGACTTAACCTCCATGAATTTATCCAGTTCTCTTTTAAATCCTGTTATGGTCCTAGCCTTCACAACCTCCTCAGGCAAGGTTGACTGTGCGCTGTGTGAAGAGGAACTTCCTTTTATTTGTTTTAAACCTGCTGCCCATTAATTTCATTTGGTGGCCCCTAGTTCTTATATTATGGGAACAAGTAAATAACTTTTCCTTATTCACTTTCTCCACACCACTCATGAGTTTATATACCTCTATCATAACCCCCCTTAGTCTCCCCTTTTCCAAGCTGAAAAGTCCTAGCCTCTTTAATCTCTCCTCATAGGGGACCCGTTCCAAACCCCTGATCATTTTAGTTGCTCTTTTCTGAACCTTTTCTAACGCCAGTATATCTTTTTTGAGATGAGGGGACCACATCTGTACGCAGTATTCAAGATGTGGGCATACCATGGATTCATATACGGGCAATAATATATTCTCCGTCTTATTCCCTATCGCTTTTTTTAATGGTTCCTAACATCCTGTTTGCTTTTTTGACTGCCACTGCACACTGCGTGGATGTCTTCAGAGAACTATCCACGACAACTCCAAGATCTTTCTCCTGATTAGTTGTAGCTAACTTAGCCCCCATCATCTTGTATGTATAGTTGGGGTTATTTTTTCCAGTGTGCATTACTTTACATTTATCCACAATTAAATTTCATTTGCGATTTTGTTAGCTATGTGTAGGAGTATTTAAAAAGGAGGACTGGGTTTGAACTGGTTTATCATGTCTCTAGTTCTGCATATTATTGGTTGACTCCAAATGCTCCAAAGAGGTTCCCCATTTCCCTTAGAGATGCTATGTAGGGAAGGCCCCGAATTTGACTTAAAATTCCTTGTTAAAGGAACTCTGGTATTTGACAGTGATGCTTTACACAAACAGAAAAAGAAATCACAGTGAGCAATTAAACCAAAAAAGCCAAAATAACAATTGCTATTGTGTATGCATGATTTTACAGTCGCAAGAGTAACATTGCCGCCTCAACTCTGGGCTGGATCCTGTAGTCCTTTCTCAAGTGAAACTCATATTGGTCTGTGCTGGCAGTATTGATGATGATCAAGATAATGCTGATTAATTCAACTAGGCAAAGCGATGTTGGTTTAGATTCCAGTAGTAAAATTCAGAGGGCCCTGTGCTCCTAAGCCCTTAACACTGGGTTTAAAGAGACGCATGAAGTCTTCTGTGGGACCTCTGGACAGGGGGTAAATTTAACTTCCTATTCATGTTGCCCAAGTGGAAAAGGAAAACACTAGTAGGTGAAACAATTATTTCTTTGCTTCTAATGTGGGTATTAAAAATAGCAAGTTTTTTTTAATTAAAGTAGTTTGTACTCTATATCCCTTTTTTAAAAAAAAATTCATGTTATTAGTAAACTGCATTTTAGTTGACTAGATTATTCAATTTTTGAATCTTTGTCAGAGAGAGGGTTGAATAATACTCCCGCTACTCAAATGTTTAGGACCACCTACACTACACCCTTCTGCTTTATATATCCAAGAGCTGCTCCAATGGATGCAGAACAGGGCAAATTCTGAGTCAGACTATTTGCAAAAGCATGACTGTAAAGGGAATGAATAAGGCAAAATGGATTTTGCCTGAGCAGAACACTTGCCCCTAATTCCTCTGGAGGTAAGTTTCTAGTCTGACTGTTTAGCAGCGCTCTCCTTTGGGCAGTGCTTGTTGGATTGAATGTTAATATATATTAAGAGGTGGTGTGTTCCAGTGGATAAGGCACTGAACTGAGACTCAGGAGACCGGGGTTCTAGTCACTGCTCTGTCACTGACCTTTGTGCATCCTTAGGCAATCATTCTGCTGCTCTGTGCCTTGTCTATTTAGATTATAAATTCTTTCTTATAGGAACTGTCTCTTATTATGTGTATGAGCACCATGCACCTAGCACAAGGGGGCCTCAACATTGCTTGGGGCCTCTAGGTGCTGCTGTAATGTGGCCAATACTAATGCCACTCTTGGAAAGGTAGAGGTGGTGCGAGGTCTACATGAAATAATTCACACTGCTTCTGATTTCAAAGAGTTCTTTTTATTTTCAGTCACACACATAGAGGATTTATTCATACACAGTAAATTTAAAATCTCGAGTGTCTTTTTTTTTTCTTTCCATCTAAAAAAATATAATTAGTTCAGGACCGGAGACGCAGGTATGTCATTTCCTGAAGTGATTATACTTTTCTGAAAAGTCCGGTGCTGTTTGGAGCTGGAGTTTGGGCATGGGAAAAAAAGACTGTCAGACTTTTACACTGCACTGCTGTAGAGGAACCGTGCACGTACCTCCTTCTCACACCAGAACAAAATCAGTCACAAACAGTACCAAAAAAAATGAACTTCTATTTATTTTACATAAAGGAATTACATCTAGTCTTAGTAGTTGAACATCCTCTTCCTCCTCCTCACTTGTTCAATCTCCATAAGATTCTAACGCTAATCCCACCTGCTTTATTTGGACAAAACTCCTGCCGGACGTAAAGCAGGAGTTTTGCCTCACTGAGGAATGCAGGGTTGGGCCTAGGTTAGTGTTGTTGTTAAAGTGAGTTCCATACAGCAGCAATGATTGTAGTTAGTGTAGGAGCTTTGCTTTCCAAACAAGTCCCTAACTCTAAACTACCTGGCATCCACGCATGAGATAAGGAAGAAAACATAATGCATTGTTTGCTAATATACATGGCTTCTGCAGTAGTTGTTTTCGGTGGGAGTGATTTCATTCTCGGGGGTCAGATGTGAAAGGGAAAAGGTTTATTTTGGGGGCACTCCACAATTTATTACCCTCCTGTTAGTTAAAATTGCCTTTCAGTCAATGTTTTAAATCCTGCAGGCCTGAAGAATGGCATTTTCTTTTCCAGCCTTGAGAGCTGCCTGCCTCAGTCTTCTGTGTTTAAGGGGATGTAAGTCAAAGTCCTGGGAGTTGGTTAAAACAGGCCTGGTGAGAGACTTAATGTAGAATTCTGCCAGCTAACCAAAAGGTCACACTAAAATTCCATGTGAAAACAATGTTGCATTTTCTGTTGCTCAGTGATGGACGTGACAACTAGAACAAAAAGCATCAATCAAATTATGCATTTGTAAATTCTGAAAACGAGTGCCAAGCCTAAGTAACTGTGGCCAGGACACTGTGCTGAAGCAAGTCACAGCAGAGAAACTCCCCCAGGTTATGGAAGGCGGAACAGGTGCCATGGCCTGCAGCTTTCCTCTAGTGCAGGGGCTTGGCATTTACAGATTCACACTCTGTGTGAACTCATCGGCTGTTCTTTCGACATGCCTCCCCTTACTCCTCTTCCCTCCTTTAGAGGAGGGAGAACAACCAGTGAAGGGGCAGCACATTGTAGGGGAAAGAGAATCTCCTGGCAGAGGGTCTCCAAACCTGGCCCTCCGCCAGCACAGGTGGTGGTGTGGAATTCCACTTAGGATCTGGGCTGCAAGTAGCAGTTTAATTTTTTTTTCAAGCATTTTCCTGTATGAAGACAATTTCCAATCGGAATATGTTGCTTTGTCCCACTGTGCTGATTTAATTTGGTATCTATTAACACAGTAATGATTATAATGAAATCATTTCCTACTGACGTGACTCTCAGGTGTGCATCCATCAGTTTGCAATGCTAAACGTACCACCAGCTACAAAATTGCTTATAATGACAGAGTTGTTCTGACTGGCTGATCAGCATGCTATGAGGTACCAGTTCATTAATTTATGTAAATCACATGGCTTGGCTGAAACTATTGTTCAACACTCATTATAGCCTACTTCATTTTCTTCCCTTACGAAGGTTTAAGCAATAGCAATAAAGCTACTGCGCTACATCTATTATTACAAATGAGACAGTTGCATTCCTGGAAAAATAAAAAGAATGACTCTATGCCTTGTGCATTGTAATACCCTTGAATTATGGTTCTATAACTCCTAACCATTCATTGTGCCTTAAAAAGTGCACTGAAATTACGTACAGTAAAATCTGAACAAGACACCCTAATTAAGAGGCAGCCTCCTGTGTTGAGACCACTCCCAAATACCTTGGGCCTAAGGTCATCCATCCCCATCCTATCTGAAAAAAGAAAAGGCTGCTACTCTGAAACCAGTCATAATATCCCTTGTGTCAATACTGGGGTGTGTGTACCACGCTTCCCAATCAGAATAGGCATGTATTGCACAAATTTTCACGTGTATAAACCATGCCACGAGGCAGTACAGAATCAGGTCCCTTAAGACCAATTCTGCACTACCTTCTAACTGACTTTTGCCATCTCTTTGGACAATGGCTTAAGACAGGTCTTATTGTATTTCACATACTGTGCATTTCTCGATACTGTAAATAATGATACCGATTGCATTTCAGGAAAGGTGTTCCGATATTGAAAGGGAAAAAATGTGGTATATCCTCAGTTCTTTATTAAACTAGCAGATAACTGGCATTTAGAGAAATGCATATGCTTAAATTTCTCATTCAAGAGATGACTGAATTGACACTATTTTACAGAAAAATTGGCTTGGCAAATAATCTCCATTTACTTAGAAAACAGCAGAAACTCTATAGCTCATTCTTCAATTTCTTGGTGCTATGTATTACCCTAAATCCTATTCCACTTGATTTTTTTCTGCAAAAGTAACATAACATGCTCTTGCTCTCATTCACACTGTGATGTCACTGTTCCTTGCATATTACCCTTATAGCATGTATGTCAGTAATTCAGAGGAATTATATCCTCCTTGCATGTTCTTTGCTATAAAATGCAAATTCATTAGTTCCTCAGAGCAAGAGTATAAGGTTGATACAAATATGACTTTTCTTGGGGGACATCTGCTCTAAACAATGTATCATGGATTTGAGTATAATCACAATTAAAAAAAAAAAGCCTTCTGACAGGGCAAAATGACTTCCTTAATCAGTAAGTGTTATACTACATTGTCATCTTTTAAAGAGAATGCATTGATCTTATTTTTACCTACTGTATATATGATGTAATATCTCTTACTGGAGTGTTCTACTTACAAATAGAAGACATGAAATTAACTTTATGGAGAGACTGTCATAAATTTTGCTATGCTAGGGAGCATTAGGGTTGTGTAGATGATCATACTAACCTCACTGAGCCCTTAAGATTTAAATAGAGAATGATTAATCAGAAGTGATTTGGAAATATGTAGGTTCTTTGGAACACCAGGTAGTTGAAACTATTCCAATTCGATAGGTGGGTATAACTTATCAAAGCTACATCACACTCTCTTTGGACCTTATTCTGCCACTCTTATGTGAATGATACTAAAAGGGACCATTTACAGATGAAGATATTAATTAGCATGGTGACAAAGTTAGACCCTCTCTGATGGCAGCTCCCAGCACTGCCAAATTGCAGTTTGTTTCTGGATTACCTGACAGATGTACCACATCAGAGAGATAATTTCATTATATACCAAACTGTATATAGTAGTTACTTCAGAAAGTAGTTACTTCAAACATATAGTATTTTGGATCTATGCTTCCTCTGAGAGAACTCACTGTGTATTAATTTACTATACTTGAAGGCTGGACCTAATGGTAGGGTTTCATCATACATTATATTTTTGGGAAGCACCAAGAATTACAGCTAAATAGGTAATTTTTCTCCAAAGTTAACAGTTGCAATAGATCCCTCACTTTCTACTACGTCAGCAACCTTATGCAGTGTGGGTGCAAATAGAAAGCATATACCCAAGGGTAGGAATCCACTAAATAATTGATTTTAGATGGTAAGAATTACAGGTAGATAACTTGCTTTTGTTTGGGAAGTAGGCTGTGTGTTAAACATACTTTAAATGGGGTTTTCAGCAGGGGTCTACATAATTACAGCATTCTCCAGTTGCTTTTACTGTATCAGGGCTCATTGGGGTTATATTTTATTTCATGTACGCTCTTACAGAGTCCACTGATATGAAACCCCATGGAAACATGAAAGAAGCAAAGACAACAACGTGAAGGTGGGGAGAAAGCAATGTAGCTATGCCCCCGGGAAATAATTCCCCTTTCCTATATTACAGCAAACCTAAACCACCAAGCTATCTGAAAGAGAGAACAATGCAAGCATGTCATCTCCATTTTGACACATTCATTTTCTTGTGTGGAGGTGAGTTTCATCAAACTAGTCTCACGCTTATCAGCGGTCGGTACCAGTTGGAGAAACCCTAGTGTGTAAATGAACATACTTTCTTCCAACTTTTGAGGGATTTTAGGCACAGGCTTCAAATGATTTTCACAGGACTCACCATGGCTAAAATCCCATACAATGCTTTGAAAATGTATCTGCCAGTGACACTTCTGAAGGATCCATCTGAGTTTTTCCTGCATTGTCTTCCCATGGAGAAGACACAACTCACGCCATAAAGGTAACTGGCAACTGTTTTTTTTTAAACAGCAAACTTGCTGCAGAAACGTGCTTGTTCCAAGAAAAGCAGTATTACCTGAAATGTCCATGAGCATCAAGAACATGATAAACTGCCCAGTTTTCACAGAGTAGGGGAAGAAATGCAGTACAGAACTGATAGGAGCACTGGTTTGGTTTCCAGTGATGCCTTCAGCACATTCTTGCCTTTAGATGATGATCTTGCTTCACCTCATGTTCCTTCACTTGTGTTCTTCTAAAAGAGGTTATACATACAACTTTACAAGGCCACAATCAGAAGAGTAATGTGAAAACTGCAGTCATAGGAGAAGTAAGTTTTAACTCCCTACAGTAATACAAACCAGCATCGGCAGGGAATAATTGGGGAATATTCTTGGTTGTCAACTCTGCCCTGTCCAGCTCTAAACCCAGTGTGTGCTATGTCCACTAAAGGGTTTGCAATTAAAACAATACCACAGTCAACTTGCTGAAAGAGATGCATTGCAAATCTGGAGTGGAATCTTTCTCCAGGTCCCTGAGCTCTGGCTTCATTGTGTGTCACAATGGCACCAACACATTTTGTGCATTAAAGGGTAGTGGCTGTGCCCATGTAGATTGCATTGTATGCTGCACTGTTAAAGATGTTAGGGGGCGACACTTCTGTTATTCCGTCCATGTCACTAACACCAGAAAAGGAGAAAGGGTAGTTAACACTCATTGCAACAATTCATTCCCTAAGTTTTAGCAATCCTACATTTTGCTGCTGGTGAGTGAAAGATTGTAGTGACACTGTAATTTTATTGCCTCTGCCATTAACATACTCATTCCATTTGAACTGATCATGCAGGAGGTCCGCAAGATAAAAGCAAGCAGCTCAGTAGTGCTGCCACTTGTCCAACTGGAATCACCAACTGTGAGTGTTGCTGAATTATCCAGGCAAGTTGAATTTGCCTCTCTTTTGGAGTGGGGAAGAGGATGAGAGGGTCTACAGTGCCAGAGAGAACACAAGGGGTAAGTGCATTTACGCTTAAATAACATGCACTGACCTTTCAGGAAACTGAATACAAAAAGCAATCCTCTGCCACTGCTAAGAACCCACACGATATGTCATTGGGCTTGAGCTGAAGTTTGACCAGGGCTCTGTCTTAGAACTCCAAAGTTCACAATATTTAGATATAGGGTTTCATTTCTCACTAGGTGCAGCGACTTTAAATAGCAGTCCCTCTCTTTTTCTTAGTCCTCCCACTTCTGGCTAGGGGCTCTATGGAAATTAGCAGTTTTGCTTTTTAGAAAGGTTTTATGCAAACTCTTCATTTAAATTTCTCTTTGTTCATGCTCCCTTAAATTGGGGTTCAAATCATGCAGGATTGAGTCTGATTGTTTTACCTGAAACATAGCCTGTCCTTATGTAAACCTTACAGCAAGAGCTGCAACCAGGACAGTTTATGATAGGTTTGCTAATACAGTGTTTGGGGTCATTAAAAAAATCAATATTCTACAATAAAGAGTGTAGGTTCACTCTAAATTTGTTTCAGGTTAGACTCAAGTCTTGTTTTGTTTGCGTTTTTTTAACCTCATTGGCAAACCTGGTCCACGTTTGATTTGTAGGGACCCCGCAAATCTCTCCACCTGGCTTGGGGTCTCATCAGAGTTCAGCCCACTAGTAATTCTTTTCCCTAGTTTTAGGATAAGGCAGTAGGGCTGAAGCTGAAAAGATAAGATCTGGTTTTGGAGAATGTAAGGCAAATAATCCTGATGCCTCCTGGCATAAATTGATCACCAAGAAGAACTGTTTTCTGCACCATCATATATACTGCGGCACATTGAGGGGTGTTTTCCACCGCCTGATGCCTCAGGGACTGATCCCTGTCACATACTGGACTCAATGGTCCAATTCCACTTCATTTGTGCTTCTTCAGATGTTAGGCAGGAATTGATGACAGTGTGGTATTTTCATGGCACCTGCAGATGATTTCTTGCCCATATCTATATAGGACTTTTCCCCCCTAACATATGTCAATCAGTGAGTAGATGACCTTAAAAGATTTTCCACCCCACACATCCCCTAAACAATTGGTTGTTCCTGGAAAATGAAAGAGAATGATTTCAATGTCTGCCTATATAGTTTGTAGAGAAACAAGATGGATGAGTTAATAGCTTTTTATTGGACCAACTTCTATTGGTGAAAGAGACAAGCAAGAGAGCTTTGTGTAGCTAGAAAGCTTCTCTCTCACCAACAGAGGTTGTTCTAGTAAAAGATATGACCTCACCCACCTTGTCTCTCGAATATCCTGGAACCAAAATTTAGTTTGTATTAAGATGAGATCATACATTTTCTACCTGCATCTCACATCAGCCAGAGCTGGAAGTTGTTAACCATCTTGAAATTCCTTTCACAATCCTCCTTTGAACGGGAAAAGTTTTAGATGCTCAAATCATTTTTTCCACATTTACAGTATCTCACTGCAGAGCCGAGAACCAGCTGCTCCCTATAAGGAGACTTGGCACAAGCATTCAGAAAAGTAGCTATTTTTTTCACTGGCCCAGTTACTATTATATACAAATGTGTGTCCTGCTGGGATATGGACAGAGCCTTCAACGGAGGCATCAACAAGACAAACAATAATTAATCCTTCCCCGAGGCCCATTTTAAAATATGACAAATCCATTACGAAATCACTAGTAATTAAACCAACTAAACTTGCTCACAATGCACCATATACACTAAGAGACCCATAATCACATCTTCTTGAAGACATGCTAGCTAAGCGCTTCAAGCTGTGCAGTTAGTAGGAGAGTTCAGAAGAACATTATGATTAAAAATCATGACCATCTGCTGGAGAAGGCACAGTGTATTAACCTAAAATGGAGTTAATGCTTTATTTGAATTGGTTTGAGGAAGGTCTTAGCTAGAGAGCAGTTTAATTGGAGAATGTGTTTTTTCTAAAAAATAGTATAATGCTACCCCCAAAAGAAAAGGCTTGTGCCATTAGTAATATGGAGAAAGCCAAAATGACTGGTTGTTGGCCACAGTTTCCATCTACAGGACCATCAGGCTTTAGTTTCCCATCACACCAATGGACTGAAGCCATACCAAACGTCTAAGATGAATTAAAACCTGCACTAATATGCTTAATCCAGCCTTACATTCTCCTCATGAATTTTTGCCAGGCACAAAATTTACTTGCTGATCTTAATCCCAATGATTATACCGCTCTCTTTCCTATGTGCTCTGAACAAACGGACAGGTAAAGTTTTGCCTCATTTCTATAAATGCTATTCAACATAGATTATTTGCCATAACCAATCTTTCTATAACAAACCACTTTTCACCAAAATAAGTGAAATTAAAAGTGAGACCAGCAGACTAAAGAACTGAAATTTCAAGTTAGAGGTCTATTATTTTAAACTGCTTGAACCACAGCTCCCTATAAAGGTCAATGGGCATTATGTGATATCCAACAGCAATGGCCAGATCCTGATCTAGAACCACTATAATTTAGGATTCAGGGTTTGTTTGAAGTAAAAATATGGCTAGTGTGTGGATTTGGATTCAGAGATCTCATGAAGTGTTCTCACAAAGATTTTTACTTCTATGCTGGAGAGGTGCAAGCCTCACAAAAACTCTGTGTTGGAAGATTTCAAGTACATTTAAATGGAAAATATTCCCACCACCCCGTTCCATTTTGGAACCAAAATCTTATAAAGGTGTTTGGAGCCTGGGTTTTAAATCCAAATTCTGCAGCAAATCAATGGGGTTTGAATTAAATGTTTTAGTTTTGGCCCATTTCTTTGCATGAAAACTGGAAGAAGAATAGACCACAATGCTCACCTGGTTAGTGTAGGGGACTCAGCTCTGCATAGCCTAATCACATCACTATCTTAACACAAAAATACATTTGAATTCCTTGCTTATCACTGATTTACAACAGTAATGTTACCCAAACCCCACTCTTTTCTATTCTGCTCCTTAAAGGCATTGAAGTAAGTTGAGAGTTGCTTTAGGCTGATTTTTATCTCCATAAGTTAATAAGGGGTGAAGGAAAGGGGGCAAGAAAACAGAGAGGGCTGTATGTTTGCCTCACTATGTTTGCCTTTTCTTATTTCACCCACCACATGAAGATCAAATAGGATTTCCTGGATAAAACTATTTTAATTAAATTAGTATAGAGCTAGTTCTTAAAGAAAGCAACCCAAACATTCCTTATTGGAACAGTCTGTCTTGACATACATACATGTTCAGTCGGTGAAATACACCCCTGTGCAGAGAGCTCTTAACAAGGCCTCCACAACACTAACTCCTCAAAGTAGGGCATAAGTAAAGCACAGGCCTCATACAGGTGCCCTGAGGAGGAGTGAAGTTCACTCATTGGCCACAGCTTCTTCACAGGTAAGGAGGGTCCCATTCTGTAAAATTCAGCAGCTTTCCTAATGTACAGTCACAGAGGTGCACTTGGGGCTTCACACACATTTGTGTAAATAAAGTATTTCATTTGAATCCTGACCTTACATGACTTGGTGCTCTCAAAGTCTCACTGAAGTTAATGAGTGCAGAAGACATGCATAATGAGGTCCTATATCAATATGGTTTACTACACTGTGTTATTTATCTGGAACACTAAAAACCAACTAAACAGAAGCAAATCAGTACACCAGTGAAAAGTATCTTCACGAGAAGAACTCAGACAAGATTTTCTTTTGACATGAAGGGGGAAGGAAAGTCCTTTCTGCTTTTAATAACTCAAAACTATCGATGAATGAAGCCAAAGCCAATATGGGGCCCTTACACCAACCAGAGGGAACATAAAAGGGGAAAAAAGAAAATAATATAAGGAGGGGGAAATGGTAATATTTTCAGTTTATCCATGCTTAGTGGTTCTGGCTACCGCTTCAAAGTTGGATATTTATCCCCCAGTCTTCATGCTGAACTTTTATTGGCTTTGTGGTTTTTTTAATCAACACTTATATGTTACAGTCCCTAATGTCAGTTATACTTTGAAGTCCGCTCATGTAGGTCTACAGGCAGGTGTCTTATTACAGAATGGACGTGGCAAGGTGAACAGTTCATTTTCCTAGTTAGGTTTTGGAGATGCTGTTGTTTAATATATACTGGCCGTAAGTCCCACTTAATTTACTAAATATACATCATTCTTTATATACACAAGCCCCTGGGATCTTCCTTCTCAGTACCTGCCTGACCAAGGAAATAGCCAGAGGTCAACTACATTTAGGCATACAGTGATCTTTTTTTTAAAAGATCCAACAAGACGAGGTGGTGAATTATTACATATTAGTTACAGAGAAGAATAGAATCAGTTCAGCTATTTACATTGTAAATATCTGGTTTTCTAGAAGAAAAGGATGGCTCTGTTCAGTGGAAATTAGCGAAGAGAACAGGTGTGGCTGTCTAAACTGATAAGCACAATGAGGGTATTTTAGTTTCCAAAGTGGCCAAGTCTTACTTGAGTATATACTTTTCAGCCTCAGCTGGAAATGACTCACTTGGCCTTGGCAGGAGTTTTCAATGTTCTTTTTGCAGACTTGGACCTTCTCCAAAAGCCTTAACCTGACATTTGTCAACGAGATTGAACAGAAATGAGGTTTAAACAATTCAGCTCTTGCAATCAATACCAAATTAAAAAAAAGAGATATTAGGTCTTACTGACAAGTTCCTAATATATCTCATGGATTCCACTAAACTACATTGGACAGAGTTATTTTCCAACTCCTCAAAGATGACAAACAATTTTTTTTTCTAATTAAGACATTACATAGTTGTGGAATATTCAAATCTGCTGAACATTGTTTTTTTGTTTGTGCAGGGGGTATATTTATTTAAAGTTCATCTTCAGCCTGCCACAAGTTAATGGTATCCTTTGAAAACTGATGTAAATTGAAACAAGCACAACTATCAGATTCTTGAAGATGCAAGGTTTGATTAAGTTTACAGGGTCATTTTCCACATTAAGAAATTTGGATCAAATATTAGTATATCACGAAGAACCTAAAAACACACACCCACTCGTGCACGCAGAAAAAATACAAACCTAAACACCTAACTCACACTTGTGTTTGCCTGACTATTTAACAAAAATCTAATTCTTTCCCAACAGGTTTTCATTCTGTGTTCCTCTCCTCAGAAACAATAAAGAGTATAGCTGGGTTGAGAATTTTAGAGATTTTGAAAATTTGTCTTGTCCCAAATAGGGAAAATCTTGAAAAATTTCTGCAAACTGATCATAATAATACAAAGCAGATCAGGTCAACTTGGGACTTGTGCCAATTTCAAAACCTTTTTCTCCCTCCAAATTTTTTCAAATTGGAAGCTTCATCAAAACCAACCCTGTCTCACGAACAGTTTGGGTTCTGATGAATCAGCATGTTCAGATGAAAAAAAATTGTTGTTAGAAAACTTCCAACGAGCTCTACTCAATGGTATCAACTTGGATGGGATTTAATGAAGGGACAGTATTATGGAAATTGTCCTCAGGGCACTAACATAAGTCTAGCTTCTTCAGTAAGCACCAGGTAACAGCCTGAAGGTGAAACCACATACGGGAGCCTCAGCTTGGCTTGTAAATTGAGCAAAGTGAGTGGTACTGTCACAGCATCATCTGATCTAGCCAATGTTGCCACCTCTTGGAGTTACAGATTTATGCCATGAAGAAAAGAATTTCAAAAGGAAAAATTCACTGAATGAGGGATGTGTTCGTCATCTAGGTTCTGTTTCTGATCAACAAAATAAGCTACCCCAAGTGTACTTCCACGCCATGTGATGTAGGATTCTACTGAACTTGAGGTTACATCAGGCATCCCATGTAAACTAGAATAATTCAGAAGAAGAATGTGAGTTGCAAACATCTCAGCGTTGGACCAACTTAAAGAAATACTTTAATTGTCTAAAGATACTTTACAGTCCTCATGGAATGTTTCTTTAGAATTTATTGAAACCAGTAGGGCACTCTGGATATTATCCTTTATGGAGATTTAGTGAACCAATCTTTAGAATCCTATAGCAGAAAATTATACCTCTATTTAAATTCTATAGGCTGGTGATAATTTTCTGTTACATTCTATATTTTTCTATAAGGGAAATGATTAGTCAGTCATGCATTGTGGGTGTTGCATAACCAGAGCAAGCCTAAAAAGAAACCACTCTTCCAACAGCCATCAAGTTTGCAGGAGCAAGGTTAATCTCCATACCAATAGCTAGATCTGCATAACCATCTGTTTATTTCAACCTCCTTCTCGTTCAAACAAGGAAAAATATCAGTCTCTTAGAAGCATTAGTACACTGTAATTCCTGTAGGGTTCTCATATCATCCAGAAACTTAGGAAGATGCCCCTGAAGATGTAGTAGCCCCATTGGAAAGGTTCTTCAATCATTTCCTCCTTTTACAGTTTCTTAAAGTGACTTTAACTAGTGTTCAGAACAGAGATTGGCAATCACCTTACTCTGCCAGTGGCTATCAACATGATTTAAGGAAGTCACTTAAGGGCAGGTATTTAAAGGTTTCAGAGACCTGAAGATGCAGATAGGTGCCTAGTGGATTTTTCGAAAGCACCTAGGCACCTAACTTCAATGGAAGTCAATGACAGTTAGGTGCCTAGTGGGATATTTCAAAAGTGCATAGGTTCCTATCAGCAGCTTCAGGCATTAAATCTAGCCCTTAGCCAGAATGTGTCTCATTCTTTCCATTATTTTAGCTGTAAAGCACTTTGAAAGCATATAAGTGCGAGGTATTAATTAATATTATTAAAAACAGAGGTAGATTTAAAAATCACTTGCAAGAGAGAGAATAAGAGCAACCATCATTTCATGCTGGCTACAATATTGAACTAATGAGGAAAAGGCTTGAAACACCGATGTCTGGAACTTCTAGAAGCTATGAAGGTTTTTATCTATCCATAGGTATTTACAGAGCATGAGTCACTGTAGTTTCTAGTTGATCGGTACCTGTATTCCTTTAGGTTACATGCTGACAGCATCAACTTCCTGAGCCAAGGGAAAATGAATGATACTATTCAGGTTTGAGGGGTTGTTACTCCAGCTCTGACAGATCCGACAAGGTCTATTGCTCATTTGCTGATAGCTTTGTCCAGGGTGGAGAGCCTTGCACCCTTCAAAGAGCAGAGCTGCCCAAAAGGAAGATTGACAAATTTAAGGATAAAAAGAAATGCTATGATTGTTTACTTAGGCCACAACTCAGCAAAGCACTTAACTATGTTCATCCCTATTCAGCAAAGAACTAAAGCATATGCTTAATTATAAGTAAATCCCATTGACCTGTGTGTGACTTAGGCACATGCATTGGTGTTTTGATGAATCAGGGCCTTAGATGGGCATTTAGATAAACTGTATTCTCTATCTTAGGGATTCCTAGAGTGCCAATCGCTGGGACGTCTTTTATGGTGCCCGCACCCCTTTTCATCAGCCCAGGGGAAAATGAATTGTACCGCACAGGAGAGTGGTCACTGTTCTAGTTTTGACAGATTAAACTTGGGAGAGTTTCCACACACTTTAAGTAGCTCTCTACGAAGGACTTCCCAGACATTGTTCCGAAAGTCTATGGCATGGTTGTGCTTAGTTGTACTCATTTAATAATCTGTCACTCCAAGAGGCTCACCCTTTTTTCAGTTGAGAAGACAACCTAAAATGGAGGTGAATTCTCTATATTTTACTAGTGTTAACGTATGATGCTTGAAAGCTGGAGCTGATAACTGCTATTATTGCTAGGGAATCCCCCTCAGTGTTATTGCTTTTGACACACCTACAATGCATTGTGGTATCCCTTTAAACACTTTCACGAGTATTTGCATTCACCTGAGGCTGGATTAAGGTCATGTTGCTAAACGATGATTTGATGTTTCATGGCTTTAAGAGAGAATATTGCTAAATCTATTAGCAGTAGTGATTTATTGTTTATACTTATTGCTTTCACACCTACTGCTGAAACTGAGTTTTTTTGAAAAATTACATACATAATTTTGTTTTCAATATATGAAAAAATGTCATGGAAAAAAAGCCACCAAAACATACCTGGGGAAAAATTACTTTATAGTGTAATTTCAAGACCACTCAGAGCTACTAACTCTGAGTTTACATTACATTTATTCTTTATTTTTATTTTACATACTTGAGTGGAAGCTTTATTGTTTGCTTTTTACTTTGGACAAAATCTCAGTTGATATTCAGATATTTTCCCCAGTTTAGGGATGGCAGATTTGTCAACTGTCCAATCAAATATTTGTAGATTCAAAAATTGTCATACATTACAGTTAACTAGAATAAGCTATTTAAATTAACTTTTCCTGCCATTTGGATGAGGCATACATTACAGATGGCACAGCACATTTGGATAAGAGGAGAGAGATGTGAACCCTAGAATCCTGGCTAAATTCCAACTCAGACAGTTGCATTTTGCCTACCTAAAATTCTCATTGCTGTTTTAGGAGGAAAAACAGTTCTTCAGTTGCCCTAAACAATTGTGTCGTGTTGCTGTACGCTGTTAAAAGACCTGACACTACTCTCTGCTGCAAGTCCAAAGTATTATTATCCATCAAAATCCAATTGATATTTACTCAATATTGGCTTCTTTGAAATATGCAAAAGCTGCCTGAGATCCTGATTGTTACACTCTCAGCTTGGCTCCTGGCTGTTAAATAAAGGCAAAGCATATTAAATGTATGAGAATATTTGACCATTCAATTTACTAACCTGCTAGGTGTAGCCCAGTTGATGAAGCACTTTGAGGAATCAGCTGATTTGTCACCGGGGGGCGGGGGGGGGAAGGCTGAAACGAACTATAGAATCAATGATGTCCAAGTAATGTAATTCCCACAAGGGAAATTATTTAAAGGGAATTCAACTCCTTTGCAGCAACAAATACCTAGAGAGGGAGTAGACTGCAAACATCCCTTGTCTGCAATCCTGGCTGACCAAGCACCTAGTCATAAATGATACATAAAAATTGTGTACATCCTTCTTGTTGTTATCTGAGCCTATCCCCCACATTTTAGCCCCTAACACACACATACACATTATAATTAACAATGATAAGCCTATCTATAAGCTAAGAAAAATAACTCACTGTATTATCACTATGAAAAGTGTGTCTCTGAAGTCCTTGTGGGCTGAGATATTAGGTATTCACAGGACAACTCCTCCATCCTCAACCCCAACAGCTCCCAAAGATAGATATGCTTCCTTTTAACCTGGTCCTAGCTCATATCTGTGCTAAAAATCAAAGCAACAAATGTTAGCATGCACATTTTCCTTGTAAATCTCCATTCCGTGCATCCTCCGTACAAACCAGTATTATTAAAAATATATATATCAGTTGAAATTGGGGTGCTACATCTTCAAGGGTCTGAGAGAGCTCAGGCTTGACTTATTATTTTTGCTTTTACAAATCTTATCTGATATACAACTTAATGAACAAACAGAACAGATTATATACTGGCAATATGTTACAGATGTTCACATGAAATGGGCCAATTAGTTCTAGAGTGCACACTGCATATCTGTATATAATGTATAGAGATACACAGTTGCACATACTATCATACACATTTGTGTATGTTTGCTGTACAGGTACTGAGATAAATGTGTGTGTATCTATATCTAAGTGGCCAGAAGTAGTAAAATAGATTAGCAAGATAGTGAAATCAGATACACACACATACATATGTAGAGTGGCTACTGCACACCTCGTCATGCCAGTGTGAAAAAGGACAGTTGCAGGTTGCTGGTTTTGCAGCCATTAATTTTACATTTCATGGGGAAAAAAAGGCTTCTTTAATTCCCTTTTTTTTCAGTAAGCATCATTGGAAGAAGACCAAAGCAGAGCAACTATAAGTTAAATATATACTTGAGCTTAGCTGCATTACATAACTCTGTAGGAGAAGCAGGCTGAAAAGGGTTTTGTTTCATTTAAATCTTTATCTTTTATTTCTCTTCCTTTCCATCGTTTATTCTTGTTATTATTTTCCCCCTAAATTGCCTCATCTTCTGAAGAACGTTGGGTTTCGCAGGCAGGCGGCTAGTCACCTGCAACAACCGAGGGGTCCTGCAGAAGCTTCCAAGCTGCTGTCGGTGTCAGATGCCAGGGTTTGGTCAGTGGACATGGAGGAGATGTCGTTGACAGATGAGGATGGAGGGAGGCTTTCGCTGCTGTTCACTGCTGCACCTGTGCTAAGAAAATGAACACCAATGTGATTAAACCTGAAACCCAAGGAATCCTTGCAACTTGAAGACAAATGAAGCATTACTTGTTGCAACAGGGATTTGGAACACACACCATTTTAAGCAACAATGGAAGGTCAACAAAAATAGGCCAAGGAAAGCCCAATCCTGGAGTCATACAGGTCGATGGAAGTTTAGCTACTGACTTTGATAGCAGTAAGACTCGGACCATAAAGCTTCCTTTTCCAGCCTCAAGTTCTAGTCTTGACTAACATTTTAAACTACAGAAGTTTTGGTGGGAAACTTCTACCTCATGAGGTTGTTTTGAATAAAATCCATGTTGCATTTCTTATAAAGTAACTTCACTGATGTATCCTCTTAGAGCCATGAAAAAAATCAGGCTAGGGGCTTGTGGTCCACTGAAATTGAGCCTGAACAGACTGCAGGAGGAATTAGTTGAAGCTAAATTAGCCCCCATTGTATTGTATGTAGAGCTGGGGTTATTTTTTTCAACGTGCATTACTTTCCGTTTATCCACGTTAAATTTCATTTGCCATTTTGTTGTGCAATCACTTAGTTTTGTGAGATCTTTTTGAAGTTCTTCACAGTCTGCTTTGGTCTTAATGATTGTGAGCAGTTTAGTATTGTCTGCAAACTTTGCCACCTCACTGTGAGAAGGTCACTCAGATGATCCTATTTACCCTTCCGTATAGTAAGAGATCAGAAGGAGTCACCCAATGAAATTAAAAAGCCACAACTTTAGCACTGCTAAAAAGAGTAATTTTTTTAAAAACAATGCATAATGATCCTAAGGAACTCACTTCCACAAATATTATTGAGGGGAGAAGGTTAATGGGATTCAAAAGAGGATTAGACAGGCATCTGACTACTAAGAGAGGTCATGTTCACATTCGAGAGGATATAAATGTGTACGGGCAACAAATCCTCATGCTTCAGGTCATAAGTCAACCTCTACTAACTCCCTGGGTTAGGAAAAAAACATCCCCAGTGGGCATGTTAATGAATAAACAAGTGCATGTGACATAGTAGACCTAAATTATGCAGAGGCATGCAGATTTTAAAGCAGACAGCAAATATATCAGAAGAACTTCCCTTTTTCATCACGTAAAGGGAATTGCCTGCACATTTTATACCACATTCAGCAAGAAAGACGACATTCTCCATTGATATACAACAAACAAGTTGGATTTGCATTGCAAGGAGAGAAATGCTGCTTTCTGATGCCTTCCACACCACTGCATCCATATTCTCTGCATTAGTTCCTACTGCATACTCTAGGGCAATGGGGCATATTTGGAATGTTTTCACACCAATGCTAGGGCAACTCCAGTACCCTGAGAAAAATGATCTACTAATGCAGAAGATCATGCTCTGTAGCATTTTGGAAAAGAAAGCTAGCTGTACCTATCAAGAACAGCTTGCCTTTAAATAAATATTAATTTTGTAACATGTCCACGGTCAGCACAAGAAGGGATCTTCTCCCAGCACTCCTCAGCACCAGATACAGATATCTAATATGCTCACCCCACTGCTTTGTAGCAAGTAGCTAGGTTTTACATTTCTGAGTTAGCAAATTGTTTCTTGGGTCACAGTTCTTATGTGCAAACAAGTCAAATGCCTTCTTGCAAGGCAAAAATTCCAGTTAGAATTCAGATCCTGATATTCCTTCTCATACTTCTGGTTCAAAATGTTATTATGAATATTGACTTGTAGACCCTATAGCCAATATATGAAAAACAAATCAAAACCCCTTCACTTGGGAGAATGCATTCCGATCTGGACATTGACTACACATTTTGTCTTTTAGATCACTGGTCCAGGGGCCAGTGTTTGGAAACATTTACTGTCCTAAAACATAAGTGCTAGATTGCCAAAGGGGTTCTAACCTTGGCAAATCACAAGATATCATACCTTAACAATCATGTCACTCTGGTTACACTCTTGGTTTTTTATTTCCATTTGAATTCCAAATTGATTTCAACAGCTGATATCACACAAAGATTTATGCTTTAAATCTCTTTAAAGCTAGGATGATAAACAGATTTTTTTTTTAAGATATAAGTCCCTGGGGCTTCTAATTGTCTTTGAGTTCTAGATACTGTGGTACCAGCTAAATTCATGTCAGATTTCCAGTGGGAGAACAAAAGCAAGATGATAGTGAGCATGACTTCATTTTAATGCCTTTAATGCAACCTTCCAGGAAGCGGAATAAATGCTTTATACTATTGGAAAGCCAGGACTCCTTGTTTTCCAATCATGACTCAGTATGACTCAGCATTGATGTTGATCCATATAGATCTGACATACCGGCCCATAAAGACAATTTCAACCTTTCTGTACCTTGCTGGGGAGGGGAGGGCATTGTGCATCTGAGGTGCAAGAAGAAGGGGGGCCCTAAGGGTATTACAGCAAGCTCCATGATCTGGGAGGTAACAGGAAAGCTACAGATCTAAAGACCTTGCACTGCAGGTTTGCCAGATCACAGTGCTAGGGAGAGGAGCAACTTTCATATCTTGCTGGAGCTTTCCACAAAGTTGCATGCTAGACTGTGTGTCTGGCTCCCTTAGAAGGTAATGAGAAGACCTATCAAACATTTGTGGAGGAAGGGACATCAAGCCTTATGTCTGGGGCTTTATGCCACTTTCCAGAGTACGGTTATTTCAACCAGGGGTTCTATTTATAGCCACATACAGAGATGTCTCAATGTTTCTCCCCTGGCTTCCTTCTCACCAGCCACATAGCTGACTGGAAACAATTGGACTACAACTTCCTTCAGCCACCACAGTGGGTTTCAATCTTAATCCCCCTCACTTACAACACCGGTGAGACGACACAATACAGAATGCAAGAGAGTGATTGATACATGGTTCCCAACAGAAACTTGTTTCTTTTTAGGCCTGGGCCTAAGACCCTGACAAAGCCTACCAGACCCAAATCTCACAGTTCTCTAATCAGGCAAATATGCATTTATTTTAAGGGGATGGGAATAAAATGCTGCTTTTCTGCCTTGTAGTTGACATACAGTAAGATATGCTTCATATTTGAGACCAAATACAAACTGACACTCATTATTGTTTCTATGATTATTCACGCCTCTCTTTATTAATGGAGAAATATTTAGGGGTTGTGGTGGATAATTAGCTGAATATGAGCTCCCAGTGTGATGCTGTGGCCAAAAGAGCTAATGGAATCCTGGGATCCATAAACAGGGGAATCTCAAGTAGGAGCAGAGAGGTTATTTAACCTCTATATTTGGCACTGAAGCAACAGTTGCTGGAACACCGTGTCCAGTTCTGGTTTCTACAATCCAAGAAGGATGTTGAGAAATTGGAGATGGTTCAGAGAAGAGCTAGGAGAACGATTAAAGGATTAGAAAAGATGACTTATAGTGATAGACTCAAGGAGCTGAATCCATTTAGTTTAACAAAGTAAAGATTAAGGAGTGATTGATTAAGTATCCACATGGGGAATATATAATAATGGGCTCCTCAGTCTAGCGAGAAAGGTATAACACAATCTAATTGCTGGAAGGTAAAGCTAGCCAAATTCAGTCTGGAAATAAGGAATACATTTTTTGACAATGAGGATAACCAGTGTAACAATTTACCAAGGGTCATGGTGGCTTCTCCATCACTGACCATTTTTAAATCAAAATTGGATTTTCTAAAAGAGATGTTCTAGGAATTATTTTGGGGAAGTTCTATGGCTTGTATTACACAGAAGGTCAGACTAGATGATCACAATGGTCCTTTCTGGCCTTGGAATCTATGAGTTGACTTTTGTATGAAGCAAAACCAAGTCTTACCCAGCCACTTCTCTATTTATATTTTGTCAAATGACTTCAGAAAAGAGACCTGAGAACTAGGATCTAACAGAAACAAACATCTTGATAACCAGCAGCTATTTTTTATTTCTAAATGGTGCTTTGGATCGCATCATCAGGAAGTTCATGGGTCAATCATACATGACCATTAGTGAATAGGTTATGCTAAAGTAATGACCATTCACTTTCTCTTAAAAACAAAAATTGCTTATAATCTTTAAAGTAATCCATCTAAAACGTCACTATATTTATGGATGTACTAATACAACATGCCTGAACTGACATAACACTAGAAGTATCCATCCCTACATTTTTGTTCTTCAAATATATGTATATTGCAAGCATCAAATCTATCTGAAATTAATTCAGAGACTAAGCATTCAGATTATTCTTCAGGAATTAAAGGAAACCCTGTAAAGGTTCAACTCTGGATTCTAATTAAGGGCAAAATATTTAAAACGTATGTTCCAGATAACTGGGCATGAGAGGACTTTTCTCAACTTCTTTGGGGGGGGAGCTGGAAAAACAAGGACAGATCTCCAGCTAGGCATCATAAAGTTCAGGCCCACTCTGGCACCTAGAAACTAGTTTCGTGAAGGTGGTCAAACAGGACCACACTGTGAGATGTAACCTCTACTCCTGCATTCTTAAAATGGCACATGCATCGTTTTGTACATACAAGAGCCATATTCATGTCGGAAAATAGGCATTTGGAAATGATGCAGTTGTGCATCTAGCTACCTGCTTATTTTTGCGCACAAATAGCCACTTTCAAAATACTCTGCTTGTGTGAGTAAAACAAGATATATAGTCAAGTCTTGGGACCATGTGAAAATTGGACTCTCACTGTCAGGGAGCTGGGTACAGTTTCTGATTCTCTGCCCTAGCCATGGCACAGGTTAGCTGCAAGAGTTAATGGCACAAGAACACTGCTGGATTGCGGGTGGCAAGTGACCTCTTAAAACTGACCACTTATATGCCAGAGTGCTCCTCATTTTAATAAGAAACTCCTGGTAGAGAAATCTAAGCAGCCCATGTGTAGCAATCTCCTAGCATGTTCTTTGTGGAAGAGCACAGCAAGGAAGCCAGAGAGTTCCCAGGCACATGCAGGCTGCCAGCCAAGATATGATGTGACAAGGTTTCTTCTGAAATATAAATATTTCAATGAGGTATGAAACATCTGGATTTATCTGTAACACAGATATATTTAGAGATCCCAAAATGCAGCAAGGTTAAGATTTAAAAAGTAATTAATTCTGACTAATTGCAAAAATGTATACGTATATAAAAAGGAAATGTTTTCAACTATCAATATGCCCTAGCTAACAAGTCTCCAAGAGGTTTCACTAGAGAATGGTTCACAGCATTTACAGCTGTTAAAGGTACTTTTCACTGTGTAGCCAGAAAGACAGCAAATCTTCAGGTGACAAATATACAAGATGCCTTTTGGTTTTGCTTGCAAATGCTAGGGGTCTGACCCTCCACTGATTTTACCTCAGTAGCGTTGTATTAAAATGGAGATTCAGGAAGTTGAAAGGGGAAGCTTGGTGCTTCTATTCTTTGGCAAAACAGCCCTCATTTGCATTGAAAATGAAGGGTGCCTTCATTTGCCAAGAAAGCCATAAACTCTCACACAATTTATATTCTTGTGATCAATAAATTACGAACACAAAAACAGAAGTGCCCTTGAGGGAAATCTACCAATCTCAACGGGGCTATCTTATCAAGACCTCAAAGTAGAACTTCAGTGGTGCATAAACCTTGTACTGGCCCTCTGCACAGTGCTGGATTCCACCCACAATGCACACTTTGGTAGACAGCACTTGCTAAGGAAATCTGCCCCATTCTGTTCATATCTTAACACCTACACAGTGTGTTGAGGCTGCTCTCCTCCATAAATCACTGCCTAAATGAACTGGATGACTAGGCAGGGCAAAATCCTCCGCCAATGTAAATCGGCACAGCTCTGTTATATTAAAAGGAACTAAGCTGACTTACATTAGCTGAGAACCTGGCCCACACAGTGCAGCCTTCCTTTACTCAGAACTGTGGTAAGAAGTGCAAATAATCAGGCCCCAATTACTGAATATGCATCAAAGGTGTTTTTTCAAATCCTCCTCAATCTGCCTAATCAAATCCAATTTTCACCAGGATGCTCAAAAGCTCAACTACTTTATGAGGGCTATTTTCTTGGGCAAATGTCTTTCTAGCCTTAGCACATTTTGGTATTTGATTTGCTAACTAATAAAATTTTAAAAGTTTTTTTGTTATAAAGGTAATGTTTCCACCCTGCTGTACCCTGGTCCTCAAAATTGGCAGATTTGTTTGTCTTCATATTTTTAATAAAATTAAAAATATATCTTTCAGAAACAGAGGCCTGAAAACCTGGGAAGTTAGTGTTTCCACAAAACAGGCTCCCCTCCCCACATTCGATTTTAAAGGAAGTTGCTACTGTTATTTGACACTGATAATGAAAATGCAATTGAAAGGAGAACGGTGAAAGAAAAACACATAAGAAATTGCAATTTTGCATGCTCAAAAGTGTTTAAGTAAATAAAACAAATCAACAAAAACCTTCTGCATAGAGGAAATGGAAAAGGGAAGAAGTTCAGTTTTCTTTTTATGCAAACATAATTCTTCGGTTGGCTTAATGAATTAGTTCCCAAAACAAGCAACTACAGTATTATTTGCACATAAATCAGTATCAAGCACTGCTCTTTAGCGAGCAATGTTAAATTACAAGGACTTATTCAAATACCTGGCAGGCCTTCAGATTTATTTTTTCAGTGACAGTACAATAATTCCCTACGTCAAATCTGCCTGTAATGTACTTCACCAGCTACTCTTCAGCAACACATTGGATTGCCTTTCATATCTTTTTCCTTGTAGCTGAAATCAAGATTCAATAACAGAGCCTAGTATTGCCAGTCAGCACTGTATTGACTTATCACACTTACATCATGTTTCCCTGAGTTCCATCGCTGAGTAATGGTGCATCGCATAGTGTCACATTGGGTTAGTTCGCACAAACATTGGCAAGATGAAAGATGGCATGAATATGCTCAGTGCAAACCAGTAAACATACAGGGACACATCACACATTAAGAACCTTTTGATTAAATATGACTTTTCCATATTGAATGGTGAACATCTACTCACAAGAAATCAAAGTGGAGAACACTGCAATTAATGATTAGAATGTATTGAAGGTTGTTTCATGCATAGAAACATTCCTACAGGGATGCAAATACTTTAAATCCAGATGCCTAATGTTTGTCTAAAAATGTATGTCTCCACAGTTACCTGTTTGTGCATACACAATCACCATTGGTATATAAATGCTTGTTTGCATACATGTAGATTTTGCTCATTTTGAGCATATGTATTTTGTGGAGGCAGTTTAGGGATCCTTATGTAAAAATATGGCCCTTCTAGTCTATTTGCTTACCCAATCTCAATCAATATTTCAAATAAAGTGTTTTAACATCATCAGAGTTTCTGAAAGGATCAATTACAGTAGTAGGTCCAAATAGTATGCTTGTGCAGTGTACTTTTATGGACATAGGGCCAAATTCTGTGCTAGAGTAAATGGGCACCAATAGATTGATTTGAATAGGTTTTGCTCATTTACTCATTTAGAAACGTAATGTGTCATCACTGACATTCTTTTTCCTGGTGGTTCTGAAAATATTAACCATTCCCCATCTCCATTTCAACACTGTACAACTATTGTGTTTGTTTAGTCCTTAGAAACGCCAGTGCAGATGAGAACGTGAGTTCAATGTGAAGAAATCCCCAAAATAACCTCAAAACTTGCATGGAATCTAAGCAGCCTATTTTTAAATATTAAAATGACTCGGGAGTTCAGTTAATAGAACAACTCATTATAAGCACTAAATTGTAGAATACATTTTCAGCTTCAGATGTATAACTGCAGCCTCTCTATGCTGCTGTGGAGAACATGTTAAGGTTATTCATTGGGGTTGAGTACCTGAAGGAGAAGGCTGTCCTTTTACTACTCCATTTTTAGTTTTTTCTTCAGAATTCATTACTTCCTTGTAGATCAATTCTGTGAAAGACAATTGATGCCGTTATGAAAGTAGCTAGTTCTTGTGCCCATGAACAACTTAATGCTATAAACTGCGAAATCAGTCACTCTCTCTTCTCTTCCCCCACCAGTTATTCCCCCCTATCCTTGTTCCTGCTGCTGGAGCCATTCAAGCAGTTTTGTCATGTCCTCTGTCACTTTAGTAACAGTGAAAGGAATAGGACTGTTATAACTGAGCTTATGTTCCACGTCTGGCACTGCAAAATAGGCTTGAGCACAGCAAATTCAGTGTGCTGAATTAAGGTAATTTAAGACTCTTCTGTGTACCAAGATTAAGCCACACACACTAGGGAGTTTTAAAACTTTTATGCAATGCATTATAATGATTTAACACTGGCTGCATGGGCCAGTCTTTAAAACATACAAACTGGGAATGAAGCTAAACCTTTCCAGACGATTATGTAATAAAAGAATGTGAGCATTATACCAACATTTTTCCATGCCTGCTTGCTGCCTGTGTAACCATTTCCCATTTGTTTTTGCTTGTTTCTTTTTATTTCTCACACTCAGCCCTCTTTTCCCCTACTTGAGAGGAAGGGCGTTTAAGAGCATTCTACCAGCATTCCACAATCTCATTTTGCCTACTTGAGCTTTAGTAAGTCTTTCCGCTCTATCTATCCAAGTTCGCTTTTTGTGTGTGTGCTTTTTAGACATATATACGAGAGTATAATAGCTAAACTGCTTTGATGTTGCATTATTTATAACTAGGGCTGGGGCACAGTAACTTTAATGCTGTTTATCCTGGGCCAGATTCTGACACCTTACCCCTCTGAATAGTACCTTATTCCACGAATAGTCCCCTTGACTTCCGTGAGTATCAGAATCTAGCCCTTTGGTCTTTGCTAAATAGTACCTGATGTATCAAGCAATAAGAACTATAATGTACAGGGCCTATTTTTGTCATCCTTACTCATGTCACACAAGTAGCCCCCAGGAAATCAATGCATCTATTCACACAGTAAGGCACTACTCAATATAAGTAAAGATGACAAAATCAGGCCCAGTATGAGCAATGCCATGTGGTTTCAAATGAGTATGGCATTCCTTTCCACTTCCTGCCCTGAAATATTGTATAGTGTTAGGGTACTGTTAAAACAACTGTGATTCTCCAAACCCAAGATGGCTGTATTTCAGCAGTGAATGGACTGAATCCCAGGGTTGGTTAAATTTGTAGAGCATCCTTTGGGATGAAATTCACCTGTATGCAGTGGGACCAACATGAGGCTTTATGTACCACTTTAAACCCTATTTAAGACCTATTGCTGGTCCCTTGCATAGGGCAGAAATTTCACCCTATTGAACTATCATCATCAGGCTACGAACTCCTGTAAAACAGAATTTGTTCACAGATCAAATATACTACTTATTGGTGTGGTTTTTAACTCCTTTGGAGACTACAGATGTAACTCTAGAAGCTTCGTCTATATTTACCAACAAAGTATCAGTACACAGGGCTAAACTGACTTCAAAGAAGTTATTCTGGATTTGTACTGCTACATCTGAGAGTAGGATTTTGTCCATATATCTTTACAATGGGATTACCTTTCCATTCCTCAATCGTATGTTCTCTTTCATCCAGCTGTTTGTCATATATCTGAGGAGGAGGCTGTAGAGTAGAAACAAAGAGAGGTCAACAGGCTATTCCTTTATATTACTAAGTAAATACATAGTAAGAATTTCTGAATGTTTTTATACTTGATTATTAAAGGGCTAAAATTCCTGGAAATCAGCAGCTCATATCAAAGAACCCGGCTGCTTCTTTGCTCATTCCACCCCTCACCTGTAGTAAGTACCCCTACAGTGAATGTATCCTGAAAGCCATGCAATCCTGCCCTGCAGTTATGTTATTCAAATAATCAACACTGGCAGGAATGACGTTGCAGCATCAGCCAAAATCTGCATTCGTGATGCTGGAATGTTTTAACCAGAATACAGTGTTTAAAGGCAAGGCTTCAGGAATTCAGCCAAAAGCAGAGAAGTATCAACTGGGAGTGGTCCAGGTGGCAACAGACCTGCCTTACCTGTGGACTCCACATTTTGATGGATTTGAGAGGCATTCGGGTATGCTGAAAGGCAGCATGGTCTAATAGTTACAGCATGAGACTGGGAACCAGGAGCTTTTGAACTTGACTCTTGGCTCCCTTGATGGCCTTGACAAAGTCATTTGACCTCTCTGCCTCATTTTCCCATCTGTAAAATGGGATGAATAGTACTCACCTGCCTGACCTGAGTGTTGCGCCATGCCATGAAGATTTAAAGTCTGATAAAAATGTGAAATGTTGTCTGAGATTTTTCAAACCCAGTTAGCAGATTTCATCTGCAAACCAAGATGACTTTCATAGAATCATAGAATCATAGAATATAAGGGTTGGAAGGGACCCCAGAAGGTCATCTAGTCCAACCCCCTGCTCGAAGCAGGACCAATTCCCAGTTAAATCATCCCAGCCAGGGCTTTGTCAAGCCTGACCTTAAAAACCTCTAAGGAAGGAGATTCTACCACCTCCCTAGGTAACGCATTCCAGTGTTTCACCACCCTCTTAGTGAAAAAGTTTTTCCTAATATCCAATCTAAACCTCCCCCACTGCAGCTTGAGACCATTACTCCTCGTTCTGTCATCTGATACCATTGAGAACAGTCTAGAGCCATCCTCTTTGGAACCCCCTTTCAGGTAGTTGAAAGCAGCTATCAAATCCCCCCTCATTCTTCTCTTCTGCAGGCTAAACAATCCCAGCTCCCTCAGCCTCTCCTCATAACTCATGTGTTCCAGACCCCTAATCATTTTTGTTGCCCTTCGCTGGACTCTCTCCAATTTATCCACATCCTTCTTGAAGTGTGGGGCCCAAAACTGGACACAGTACTCCAGATGAGGCCTCACTAATGTCGAATAGAGGGGAACGATCACGTCCCTCGATCTGCTCGCTATGCCCCTACTTATACATCCCAAAATGCCATTGGCCTTCTTGGCAACAAGGGCACACTGCTGACTCATATCCAGCTTCTCGTCCACTGTCACCCCTAGGTCCTTTTCCGCAGAAAAGTGTGACTTTAGGAAGGTCACACTTTTTTTCCCTCTTCTCATTGTTCTCTGTGTGCCCAAACCCACTTCCCCAGGAAGAGAGAGGTTACCCACAAGAATTCTGCAAATTGGTAATGTATTCAGTTTCCAAGCAACACATTGAACCGTGAATTCATAATCTCCAGTCATTATATTGTCAAAATTGTCCATGTCTTGTGTAACTCTCCCTCCCCAGGCAGAACAATCTGGGGAGGGAGGAGTTAGCCAGCTGTGTAAGTACTACTGGCCTTTTCAACAGAGATTGCATCCCCAGTATCAGCTTCCATGGCTGCAGAGTCCAAGTGGATCATGGGCTCTGCACAGCTGGTTCTGCACAACTAATGCATCTGGGCCCACGATTTGTCCATGATGAATATTTGAATTCCCTACCATCTTCATTCCGTACCCCAGTGTAGATATGTAAGAATAATGGATTGTTTGGTTTGCTGATAATTCCCCCTCTCCCACCAGTAAAAATATATTATGGTTTGGGCTCAACCTGAAAATGTGTTTTAAATTTTTCAGCACATAAAAATTAATTTCAGATTGAATAAATGTTTCATGCTGACAGAAATCAACAAGTTTTGCTTTGATTTCAACCATTTAAAAATTGATTTTTTAAAAATAAAATGAAAGAAAATTTCAAAATAAAAAGTAATTTTGTTTCAAACATGTCAGAATGAAATGCTTCAATTTTTCAGACTTTTTTTTAAGTTTGTGGGGTTCCCCCAAAAACCAAATTTGGCAAAACCAACACAAATTCACAAAATATTTCAGTGTCACCAAATCTGCATTTTTTTTGCCAAAAAATATTTTGGCTGAAAAATGTTGCCCAGCTCTACCCCAATGATCTAGAAAAACAAAGAAAGTAATCATAAGACATCCATGAGAATTATCAGTGTGATGAATCTTGTCTGGATTTGACTCATACATTCATCCAGCATTTTTGCCAAATTTATCTTTCTAAAGAAACAAAGGCTGGATTTGGGACATTTAAAATGGCTGCTGCCACACGGTAGAAGCTGTTTTTACTATAACCCAACCAGCCCAACTAATCCCTCTTACTCCACCACTCCTCTCACCTGGTAGTTTCACCTCAGAGAGGCATTTTTAATTGCTGAGACACTCTTCTGCCTTCCTTTCTGACTCCAAACACCCTCTCCCACCAAATCCTTCTGAACACCCGGCCTGCCCCAAATGCTCCCCTATTATGGAACTCTCCTGCCACCCTCCCTCACAACAGAGACAACTTCCCAGGGACCTTCTTTGTCTTCTCTTCCTTTCTGCTGTGGCACTTTTCATCACTCTCCTCAGCCTCAAGGCCCGTCTCCCCTTCAATATGTGAAATCCATTCTCAGTATCAAAGAGGCCAGACACACAGGGTGCAATGATTCCAACAGTATGGAACTGCGAGATTAATAACTATCATATGCCATCAGATAGGAGGTTGTGCTGTCTAGCATGTGTAATGCAGTATGGGGAGTGGGTAAAATAGATACCCTTTCATCCCCAAGCTCTCTCTAACATATGTTCACTTGTCATTCACTGAGAAAGCAGAGCTTTGCTGCAAACACCTTGGATGAGTCTGCTGGATGAATTAGCCAGGAACAGCATGGCAGCTGGAGCCACAATTGGCTGTGTCAGAGGCCCAGTGTCCCAACTTGGACAGCTGCTGCGGTTGCAATTGGTTGGGTCAATGGATCCTTGAGCTGCCTGGATTTTCCCACAATAAGATGCCTAGAAGAGAGACCATGGGTACAGGGGAGGTTCTTTTAATTCCTTCCTGCAGCCTACTCAATATCATGCTTCTCTAAGTCATGTAGCAGGACCAGCCTTCTCGACCAGTTGATGATCTACTATGAATTAGTAGGTCCAATCCCAACCAGCTGCTGACCCCATTGCCCCCCTTTATAAAGGTTCTTAGGGTCATCAATATAGAGCCCAGGATGAGCTGGGAGAATGGGCTTTCTTCTTCACCAACACCTCCAGGAGTTTCCAGGTGCATCGTGGGAAGGCGACCATTGTGTTCCTATCAGCACTATCCAATACCAACCACACAATCACTGGGTTGATGATATCTGGTTAACTGGAGAGTGAAATATTTGTCAAAGGATTTTGGGACCATCATTCCAACAGAGGCTCTGCTTGCAGCAGAAGCGGCTGAGGGTGTCAAAGGAAAGTACGGCAGAGTGACCTCTGTGGAGGTGCAGGAGCGGGTGACTACAGTAGAAGGGACCAAAATTCAAGTACGGGTGCTCTCATGCACAATGGCCCAATCCAAAGCCCACTGGAGGCAATGAAAGATAACTTCAGTTGGTTTTGGATTAGGGCTAGAGGTAAGAGAAACTCCTGTATCTTTGTTCTGTCACAGACAAAGACCTCCATCTCCAGGTCTGGTTAGTCAGGGCAGGTAACGAGAGCTAGCTGCTTGGAGGCCACTGAAGTGGTGACTGTGGCAGGGAGAGAATCATTAAGCAACTCACACAGCTTCTCTACAGGTGACAGCTGCCTTTGCTGCAAGGCTGTGGGCGGGAGATGAGCTGTGCAACCGTAACTCTGTCCCCTTGTGCACATGCATTATGAGACATGTTTTTTTCTTACACAATCATATATTTCTCAAATAGTCTAAAACACACAAACATACAGTGTAACATGAGATAATTCTCCTAATTTAGGAATGTGAGAGTCGTATTTTCTATTATTGGGTTTGTGCTGGAGAAACAGAGTCCATGGAAGTCTTTTCTACAAAAAGAGCCATTTCCTCATCTGCTGCATGCCACACAGTATACACAGTGAATGATGCAACAGCAGTGCCTTTTTCAATGGACACTTGAAGCCTTCCCTCATTCAGTGTGCGCTTTACCCCATGGTATACGAAGCAAGGCTTTTATAGGATTGCCAGGTCTACATGCAGGTCTGCCGAAGCTATACTTCAGGAGATTTGTCTGTGACCTGAGGTGAGGTCTGAGGTACCTAAGCGGATTTGGTTGTGACCTGTGAGGAGGCCACAGTGGCTCAAGCAGGTGGCCAGGTTGGAGCCTAAGCCACATGGTGAAGGGGGAACATTGGGAGCTTTGGCTGTGACTTGCAATGGGGCTCTGCTGTCTCTGCAGGTCACTTGTGCAGGTCAGATAAGAGCTTTTGATCATATGGAATGATGTTATTGTTAATAAAGCCATGATCTTTGTTTTCCACACAAACACATCTCTGTCCCTTATTACAGCCTGGCCTGCAGCAGCTAATCACCCTGAAGCTGGTGCTAGATTCAGTCAAAGCCACTGAAATCCCTGCTGGAGACATCTCTTTACTGCTGATCATGGCATTGTGAAGCTCACGACTCAACCTAAGAATGAGAATTCTAGCCTCGCCAGTGACAACGGGAATGCTGTGAACCAGGGTCCTCCAGATCAGCACGCCTGACAGACTGTTGCTCAGCCACCTTGCCAGTTCTACAGCATGCATTTTCTAATGAGGAAGTGTGGAGATCACTTGGGAAGACAAGACAGACAAGGAAATCCTCGAGGCCTATGAATTCACATAAGAGCTACAGCGGCTGTCTGCTTCATTAAGCTGCTTGCTCTAGGTTTTGGGTGGTGGTTGCAGGGGGATACATGTGGGTGAGCTGTAGTCTAAATCACATCAGCAGAACTACTGTGTCTCTGTCAGAGAGACAGGAGAAAAGTAGAGAAGAGTAATTGGAAGAGAATATCGCATGATTACCTTCCTTTGTGAAGAGCTCTGGGGAACGGCTTGCAAAGAACACAGGCAGTGGTTAACATAGATTGTAACAGGCAGGGAAGCTCTTCCCATGCCATCCAAGGAGAAGGAGGAGTGTTGCTCCCCTAGGTGAGGGAGAACAGAGGGGGCTCGCCCTCTGTTTTAATGCATGGAATTAAGGAGTAAAAAGGAAGGGGTGTTTTCAAGCACATTATCTGCCCCACTTCCTCACAGAATCAACATATCTTTGGCTAGTGTCTCTGCTAATTTACGCCACCCGATGTCTCAAGCAGGCAGCTTTAGTTAAGGTAAGAGGCTACAAGAATGGCAGCAAGATTTATTTTACAGACCAACATATTCTGGGAATTGAAGTATTTTGGGGGGATCAGGCAAAACTTAATCTAACCCAATATCAAATGCCTATTTAGCTGACAAGGTAGTCAAAGATAAGTGACTAAACTCCAGATTTCACACTACTAGGGTTCCAGATACTCCAGCCGGTTCACCTGTTCCAATGCTGTATCAGCAGTTACATTACTAACCTCTATTTTTAGAATTTTAGAACTCTGCTATAAAATTTGGCTCTTGGCAGAAACTTGGCAGGCAGGGATAACTAATATTCAGCATGAGGATAAGATATTAAGCTTGTGATTCCCATTAGCATTAGCATGGGATGAATCCCTGATCATTATGGAGAACATTTACTCTATAATCTGCATAGTGTCTGCAGCGTACAGGTGAATTCAACTGGGCGACATAGGGGTGCAGGGCTCTGCCCAGGGGAGATCCATTTGCAGGATCTAGCCCTAAGAATGAAAACTATGGGCCAGATTGTAGAGTGGCCACCTGTAGAGTAACACATTTACTCCAAAAATGGCCTCCTTCATTTCAGTGGGACTGCAAGGGGAAGATTTGCAGAAGGCATACAGGGAGTTAGGACACCCAGTTAAGTCAATGCTTAGCATGATGATCAGGGATCTGTTCATGTGATTCACACTAATGCTAATGAGAATCATGTAGCTTAATAATAAAAATACTTAAGAATAATGATAATCACGCTGAATATTAGTTACCCCGGGCTGCCAAGTTTACGCTGAGCTAAATTTTATTGCTGAGTTCTAAAAATAGAGGTTAATAATGTCTGTGTTGACACAGCACTGCAACAGATAGAGCAGCTGTAGTATCTGGGACCCTAGCACGGTGTGAAATGGGTGCCTGAGTGTGAACCTTTGTGCCTTTCATAATCTGCCCCTAAGGCACTATTCAGTGTCAGGAAGGGCTTATTTAGACACAATATTTATAGCAATTTAACTATATTCGTTTAGAAACCAATCCAGTTAAATTGGGGCAACTCTTCAGTGTGTGCAGTTATACGTATATAACGGTCCTTATAAATAAACCATTGTGATATAACTACCTTTATGCCAGCATCCCTGTGTCCACATTAGGGGGTTACACCACTTCCACTGTATCAGTTTCTAAACAGGTATAGTTAAATTGGTACAAACACTGAGTGCAGACCAGCCCTAAGGGTGGCAGCATCTAGCTTTATTTAGGATAACCATTTTATCCCCCAAATGGGTTGATTTTTAAGATGTAAAAGTGGCAACAACAACGAAGAATGGAGTCTATTTTGGGTAGTGCAGGTTTTTGGTTTTGTTGGTTGACATGTTGGCACATGTATACAACGAATAGTAGTTTGGTTTGGTTGGTTGACTTTTAGTTTTTGGTTTTACATTTTATTAAAAATTATGCATTTTAAAATAGTTTAACGGTGTATTCAATTTTCCTTGCATTTAATAACAATTTCTACAAAAGAGAGTAAAAAGCCTAGCCATTTATCTTCTCACATCATTTAAGCAACTTTTTTTCTATACATGATGTACCTAATTGATGAGATACACAAACAGGAGACAACTGTATCCAATAAATACCTTTTTTAAGTCTGGTGAGCAGAAAACACTCCACTATGGAAAAAAATGAAAGGAAAGTTAATAAACACCAAGTTTAAGCAGGTACCCAGATGCTAGTGAACTCTCCCTTCCCTACCACATCCATCTGAATGTAGTCATAGTTACCGCTGGTAAGGGTACGGGAAAAGGAATGAGACTGACAGCCCTTTCCTCCTACTTAGCCAAATTCTGCCCTCAATGGGATGACGCCCGTGTCTCTAGAGAGTTAATATCCAGCACAGTAAAGATCTTGGGATTGACTGGAACAAGCCCATGCACTGTAGTTGTTCACAGGATCAGGCAATCTGGCTTGGAAGCTATAGAGCTCTGTGCTGGGCAACTATAAAGTTATCGTTATGTGAATACTGGAGGCTCAAAATATTAATGGTGTGAGGTTAAACAATCTGTTTAATGGTTTGGCTTCTCATAAAGGGGTGCAAAATAAAAAAACTTTTCATTTTGCAACATTTCAAGTTGTGATTTTTTTAAAAAGTCTTAAAATGTATCACTAGTGAAAGGTGCTAGAGTGAGACCCCTGGAGAACTGAATTTCCTTCTTTAGCCACAGAACAAACGTGCAGGGGCAATGGCAATGCATGTTTTCCTGACGCTACCCCGCCAGTGTTCCTGGATTGGGATGAACCCTCCCTGTAGGTGACAGGGCAGAGGAGTACAATATCCCTCAGAAATCTACCAGCAATTTGTTTGGCTAAAAAGGCTTTTTGTAATTATTATAAAAGGGAGAGAACAGAGGGAGGGAAAACAGGAACATTTCTTTGGCAGAACGTAACTCAGATGCTGATGAACAGGAGACCTAACTCTAACCTCCCCTGTTCAAAACAACTTCTAAAGCCAAGGATACATAAAATCCCACTAGACATCAGGCAGACCAAACCAAAAGCTGCATTATAGGACACCAGCAGAAGTGTTTTGAAAGTCAAAGCTAGTGTGCAGAGTCACTCAGATGGCAAATGAAACCAGCAGCTCTGAAGAACACAGAAATATACCTTCTTCATGAATAATTTAAACACACCAGGTTAAAACACACTCAGGCAGACAGCATCTGATAAAAACTAGGGAACACACAGAAAACGGAACACCAGATTTGGGGCTTTATCATGGAAAATATAAATACAGGATGACAAACCTATAGCGTACAAAAGATATCTGTACAGACGAAAACAATGTTTTGAGTGAAGTTTTGGCCAAAGAGAGAATGGGCCAGTGGAGAAGTAATATGCAACTTGGGAGTTATCATGATAAGGTACAATAAACAGAATATCCTAGATGTGGATGAAACAGAGGCGAGAATAATATTTTCACCTGGTAGGAAAAATATAGCAGTCTGAGAAAGAAATATATATTGTTTATTCACGGTGGTTATAGTCCAAATGTTGAAGAAAAATTAACTACCATAATATTAAAGGTTTCAGAGTAACAGCCGTGTTAGTCTGTATTCGCAAAAAGGAGTACTTGTGGCACTTGTGACAGCTGTAGCTCACGAAAGCTTATGTTCAAATAAATTGATTAGTCTCTAAGGTGCCACAAGTACTCCTGTTCTTTTTGCATAATATTAAAGTAATATAATGATATATGCTTATAATTAGAAGTTAAACTGACACTTATTCCACTGAACACATGGGAAAGATGATCTTGGGGTTACAGCAGAGAAATGGAAGTTAAGTGATTTGGATTCTAATTCTGGGTCTGCAATGGATTTTCTGTAACCTTAGGAACTCGCTTTACCTCTTTGAGCTTTGGTTTCCCCACCCATGAAATAGGTGCAATGCTATCTACCTCACAGGGATGCCATGAGATTTATTTATGCCTATCACTGCTTTTTGGAGGAGTGGGTTATATATGTGCAGAGTATTATTGTGGGGCCTGATCAGGCAGACCTTACACCTCCTCGTATCCCAACTTCAGTAGGAATTTAGCACACAAGGAAGATAGAACTGTTTACATGGGCAGTGAAACTCCCGTTTCAATCCCAAATAATCTATTGAGTCAGATGAAGGCTCACAATGGTGCTGGTCCAGATTTTTACCAACACTCAGGCTCCTCATGAAGCATGATACATTAAGAACTGAGTAGTCAAACTAAAGTTCAGCTCATGTCTGTCATTACAAGGTAATCTTAGTTCCTATACTAATATAAGCTACCAATGGCTATTAGCCAGGATGGGCAGGGATGCAAAGCCATGCTCTGAAGTGTTCCTAGCCTCTGTTTGCTAGAAGATGGGAATGAGTGACAGGGGATGGATCACTTGATGATTATCTGTTCTGTTCATTCCCTCTGGGGCACCTGGCATTGGCAGGAAAACAGGATACTGGGCTAGATGGTCTGACCGAGTATGGCCGTTCTTATGTTCACACCACCTCATGTCACTAAAATAGAAGATCTAATCTCCATTTGCTGTAAAACATACATCAATATTACACCAACCTTAGTGCTGGGGAAACTGCCCTAGTATCTATTTATCTATACTGCCACCTATTGAAGGCAGGTGGCAGTATACGGAGCAAACGATTAAGTGTTTGACGGGCAGGAATTGTCCACACTGTGAATATTACAGGAAAAATGCTCCCACCATTTACCTAGAGAACAGAAAAAAAGTTGGTTGCTGAGACTGTAAATGGGGATTTAGGTGTTCAGTTAAAAAACAGCTGAAATATTACCAGTGTCCGCATCAATGCATTTTACCTTTATGTTCAGGAGATGGGAAAGACCTATGTTGTTTTGATCCTATCACTGAAGCACAGACAAAACTTGATTCAGTCTAAGGGAATTTTGATTTTGAATGGGTTTGTGCCTGCATGTTAAACCAATTTCTAAACCATTAGGGATTAGGGTGACACCTTCATGGGGGGAGGGCAGATTACCCCCACATCTGCCTATTGTGAAGGTTTCTTGCTCCTTCCTCTGGAGCTTTCAGTGCTGGACATTGTAAGAGACAGAATGTTGGACTAGGTGGAGCATGAGTCTAATCTAGTATGGTAATTCCTAAATTCCTGTTTTCTACACACATTCACATGCACATGTGCACACACAGATTATCTGGGGGAGGGGGAAATGCTTATTTTAATCAAAGATTGGTTGTGAATATAAATGACTCTAATAAAGGATAGGGTGATTCAAATCAGTTTCAGAATAGCTAGGAACACTTCGCTTTGGCTGATTCTATGACGCTACCCACAGAAGTACTGTAACCATTTTGACGGAGTCGGAACCAGGATCCAAAAGCGTTAATAAGTTAGAACTAAGAGTCTATCTGGAATAACTTTAGGAACCAAGATCCAGCCCACCCACACAGACATTCCACAAAATCTGTGGCTCAGAAACTGTTAAACCTGTTTCTAAACATCAGCAAAACAAGTTTGCTACAGAGCTATTGAAGGTTGAGAAGTCTGGTTGGCATTTTTGGTTGTCTTTCTGCAGAGAGTTCCATGGGAGAGCCAAACTGCTGTGCGACCTTCACTGTAAGTGAACAGCACTTCTTACAAGTAATAATATCTATTTCCCTCTAGTTAGCAAGCGGTCATGGCTTTGCATTCAAGGAAGACTACAAGATGCTAAGCATATTAAGCCTGTCAGAAGGAGAAGGTAGTTGCATTTCTACGATCTCCCATTCCCATTATAGTCTTTGCCATTAGAATGAGATCAGAATTTTATTGGCCCCCATATATTGTGTAAAAGACCATAAACTTTTAATAGACTTACAAAAAGCGATGGTAGCAGGCTTAGTATTCTAGATATTTGACTAGACAGATCATGCATACCTCTTCCTTATACATTCATAATGCTGTAAATCTGGGAGAGACACACAGGGTCATTATCTCTAGGTTAAACTTTGACAAAATCCTCTGCTTTTACTCCAGACATGAAGCTGTCTTACTCATTGTCTGGCCGTGAATAAGCTAAAGCAATTTCAGGGGGGTTCCTTCAATTTTCTCCAGGAGAGGCACCCCACTGGGGCATGTCACACTGGATTATAGCTGTCACAATGGGTTATGTCAAGTGACATACAGCACTTTAAAAACAACTCTTCTCCTGATCAGGCAGACTATTAGAGTTACCTCAATCCTCACTTTAAACAAAGAAAGCTTATCAAGAGCTACAAACAGAAATCAATTCACTGACCTGAGCTAACATGACACATGCCAAGATCATAAATGCTAGTAGGGAAATTTAAAAACTCCACCATCAATGCACTTGAGAAGTTCTGGAAAGACAGCATTTTCTAAGAATTTCAGTTGGCTTCAAGTTCTGCCTATTTGCTATAGGTTTTTTTTTTTGGGGGGGGGGGGGGGAGGGTTCTGAGGGAGGCTGTGAAGAGCTCTGAAGAGCCGTGCTGTTGCAGTTCTTCACTCTTCCCTACGTACAGCACTGGAGAGCAGACAGTGGATTGACAAAAGGAGAGAGATTAGCTCCTGACAAGAAAGGGTTTGCTCATGGGAATAAAATGAATACCTAAAGGTTTTACAGATGCTGGTATTCTGCAAAGTATTCCTATTTCAGGCTGTGCAGGGTCAATATTGAATTTTAAAATATTATTATAGCCTTGACATTTTTTAAACAGTTGTTGAACACTTCTGCAGTCGGAGATTCAGGCTTTCCCTGAGACAGATATGGACCAGATCTTGCTACTTTTATGCTGAGAAGTACCTCACTCCACAAGAAATCCTGCTGTGAATATGGGTAGCAGAATCAGGCCCTCGGTGAATCTCTCTGCAGCATTCTCAGTCCTCTTCAATAATGATTCAGTGAAAGCTATTCTTATATCTTGTATAACCTATCACTCACTTTATCCTCTGTTGCCAGGTTCCCTCAGGCCCACACACTGCCTGCCTAGCCTGAGAGAGGGCTACATTATACCATTCAGGCACATTATACCACACTGTAGGACAGGTCAAGCTGCAAAGTCTTACAAGAAAGTCCAGGAAGGACTGTGACACAGAAATCCCTCCCAGAACTCACCATCCCAAAGTGGGAGTGTGACCTTTGCACCATTTCTGA